TAAGTGATCTTAAGTGATCACAGCTTAAGAAAGTTTCTTTTCAGTTTGCAGATGTCTCTGAAGATCATGTCTAGAGACTCAGTTTAAGAGTGTTTACAGACAGTAAGCATTTCTTGTAGAAAAATAGCTTAATTTCACAGAAGATGCTCAAGAATGTTTTTCACTGAGATTGATTTATTCATGAGTTCAGAGAGTTCCTCTGTCACAGATGCAGAGAATAATATCTTATAAGTGATTGATAAGTTCTCTGAGACTTCTTTTATAAAGATTATTCATGATTCAGGTGACTGCTTCTGAGTGTCTGCAGTAGAGTTCACAGAGATTGAAGCATGTGAGTTTCTAGTTCTTTCAGTCATAATGAGCAGTTGCTGACTGACTGAGCTTGAAATGTAAGAATAAGTGCTCATAGGTGATTATTTAGGTGTTTGCAGCTTGATGTGATATGTACTGTTAACTACTAGAAGTATTCATGATAGAAAGATAAAATGTAGAGGTCAAATGTATAATAGCATTCAAGCTGAGTTGTAAATAGTATTCATGAACTTCAGTCTATATAGTTGTGTGTAGTCAAGTTGATTACACAAGAGATAGGAATAGGGGTAAAGAATCCGCGAGAAGCGGGATTTCTTACATTGAGCTTCATCTTTTCTCTAGTTCTTTTGAGTTCTTGAAGTAAACATACATTCTTTTGAGCTAGATGCATGTTTTTCTTTGCAGTTAGAGCATTTAAGCAGAGTGTGTTGACATATTTCATCTCTTTTTGAGTATGTTTCACATTTATGCTCACTAGTTTTGTGATCTCTGGCACAGAATGCACATTTTGAGTCTCTGAAACAGAAGATTGTAAAGTATTCATATCTTTGACAGTTTGAACACTGTGTTTGAGCTTTGAGATTCATTCTTGAGTCTTTGTATTCATGAACTCTCATTTTCAAACCTGTTACTCTTACTTCAGAGATCTTTGACTGTTCAAGTGTCTTTGTATATACTAGAACAGAGGCATTTCTTCTACTTTGTCTGAACTTAATTGAATTTAGTCATACAGGCTCTTTTCTCAGTTGAATAGAGTTGTATTCTTCTAATTCATTTTTGAGAAGTAAATTTTGAGACATAGATTAACCTGGCTGAGAGAAAGCAGCAGAAACCCTTTTCTGAGAAGACAGTGAAGAGAGATTTTGAGATAATTATCATCTCAGATAAGAAGAAGAAGAAGAAGAAGAAGAATAAGAAGTGAATTATAAAGAATGATAAGAAGAATGAGAAAGAGAAGAAGTAGATTTTTTTCTTTTTATATTAATTAGTTATAAGTTTAAGTTTTTAATTATTAATAATTAAAATTGATTTTAAGTTTTCAAAAATTATTGTACAAGTTGTAATCAAGTCAGAAATGATATATATATATATATATTTTTTAATATTTAACTATCATGATTCATAAATCACTATAATGTATAAGTATCAACATTTTTTCAATATTGATATTCATAATATTAATATATTTTTAATAATATTATCTGATAATATAATTTGATAATACTCTCTTTTATAATATTAATATATTTCAAGAAATATGACAGAGATTAATCAAGATTATTTATTTACTTTTATATATCAATGATATTCAATCTGAGTTAGTACTAAAATTATAACTAAGTTAAGAAATAAGATTATTTTCTCTTATATTAATTCTTCTTATATATATCAGTGATTAGTTATTAAAAATAAATTATTATCTTTCTTAAATTATTATTATATCTTCTGAATTCACTTCTTTCACTTCTTTTACTTCTATTAAAGATTTACAAACTCTTTAAGAAATCACTGTGAATTACAAAGTCTATATTATTTACAATTTAATACAGAATACTCTTTTTCAATTATAATAAATAATCACTTCATTTTTCACATCTGATTTCAGGTTATGAAATTTATGAAAAACTTAATATAAATATTAAGATAAACTATGAAATAATTATTAACAGATTATATTATAGATTACTGAAGAGTTATCTCTCTGCTGTAATTACTATAACTTTATTTAGAAATATTTATTATAAACTGATTATAGCTCTGAAGAAATTTTCTAATATCTGAAGTCATCAGAATACAGATAATAAAAGAAAAATAATCAGAAAATTACTACTGAGCTGATAAGTTACTCTATCAGATAATAATTTTTAATAACACTAACTTTCTAATTTAAAGAAAATTATGTGAAAATAATTATATATTAGTACTCTGATTTTATAACTCTTATATGATAACTTCTGTGAATAATTATTTTATATATATATATCTCTGAATCTTTCTCTTTAATTAATTGAAAACTCTGAATTCTGAATACTTCTTTAAATACTTAATTTAAATCTTTATATTTCACATTGATTCTGTCTTCAGTTCAATCTTGAGACACACTACAAAGTTAATATATAATATCTAGAATCAGAGTTGAAGAATCATCAAAGAGTATCTCTCACAGTGAATATATAAACTAGTATAAATAATCTTATATTTATAAGAGTTATATATTATTACATTAATAAGAACTGAACTTATTAAGAGATATTAATTGAATTTGAATTATTAATCAGTAATTATACTGAGAATTATATAGCAGAGATATTAATAACTGTGATTAAAAATAACTATTAAGATATTAGTCTCAGTCTTCTTATAATTATAACTGATAATACTGTAAATAACTATACTATAATGAAGAGCTTGAAGTAAAAATTAGCTTTGTATTTCTGAAATAATAAATAAGATTATATTCTCTGTATTACTTATATAATTCAACTTGTAATACAAACACTGATAAAGAATTTTAATATTAAGATAAAGAATAATAAGATGACTGATTCTTAAGATGAGAATGAGATGAAAGTAATTACTTAAGTAACTTTTATATTCATTTTATAAAAGATAATATTTTTTAATAATACTTTTTAATATTACTTTTTAATAATATTTTTTAATAATACTACTATTAATTTTGAATAGATTAATTAATAATTTAAATATCACAGATTTAAAATATTATTAATATAATTTATATCTTCTTTAAATAATAATAATGATTTTATAATATTTAATAAATAAATAAATCAGTTATATCACTGAATATAATACAGAATATTAGAATATAGTAAAGTTTAATATATAAAATAACTATTCAGACTCTTCAATTATATCAGATAATTAATTATTAAGTATAACACTCTAATTAGAAAAAGATTCAGATATTGAAACTTTCTAATATAAAGTAAACTCAGTTAAAATATGTGATTGATTTACTGTTTCAGTTTTATAAGATAATAAAGACAGTTTTAATCACTTATACATCAATACTGCAGTCAGTCTGATAAGTGTATAACAGTTTATTTACTTATCTTAAGAAGCAGTTGAATCACTTAAAAAGAAATTCAGTCTGAAATAATGCTATAGCACAGACTATTATTACTGTAAGAAATAAACTGATATATTATTACAGTAAAACTGAACAATCTTTTATAAAGTATTATACTGTAGCAGCTCTACTAGATCTCTTTTATTAAGTTAATATTTATACTTCTCAAGATTAAATAGAGAAGAAATAAGACTTATATATTAAATTAGTCTGAGACTACTATAATATCAACTATCAGAGATTTAAATAAACAGATATTTAAAATATAAAAACAGTGAAATATAATTCTCTAATAAGTAATAATCTTTAATAATACTTTATATCTTATAGAACTATAATACTAACTTTGAAACAGAACTTATATATATTAATTATAACTGAAAATCAGATAAAACTATATACTTATAAAACTGAATTTAACTGCTATCTTCAAGATAATCTGATGAATTTATATATTAAATCAATTCTAGAGTTATAAAAAATTATTAAGAGTATATATTTAACTGTTACACTGATAATATATAATATTCTGATAATTTCATTGATAGAGATAAGAATAAAGTGAAAATTCAACTTAAGTTGAGATATTTATTACTATCACTGAGAATAATTATAAGAAGAAATAATCAAGAAACTCATAATTATAAAATATAAAATTATCAGACAGTTTAATATCTCTGATTATAATATATCAGAAAAGTATAGTTTTTATAAGAAAGTAAAGAATAAACTTGTATAAGAATGTATTTAATTATTTTATAAGTATTATTAATAATTATTACTAAATTCTGATTATATAAGTAATCACTGAATAAATTAAATGAGATTGATTTTAATCTTCAGTCTCAGTTTTATTCTGATTTTAAAAGAATAATTATCTTTCATAGTTTATTCTGAGAAATTACTCTTATTTCACTATTCTTGAATTAAATCTGATCATTTTTCATGTCATTTCTCTCAGAAATGATTCATTTTCAGATTTTTTTGAGACTTGGTTCTGATGAGACTCACGCCAAGAAATGTATGAGACCAGATCAAATGGAATCAAATGTGAAATTCATGATCCTGCTGGCCAGTCTAGCGGGATTCATATCAAGAAATGTATAAAATCAGATTAAATGAGATTAAATGTGAAATTCATGGTCTCAGCGGCCAGTCTAAGCATCACTGTGCTACAATGAGGCTGAGCATTGATAGCTTGCAGATACAACATCATGACTATCGCTGTCTCCGAGTATGTATGTGAAAAATGGTTGTTAAAGAGATTTGAGGTGTGATATTGAAATAAAAGCGGCGTAGGTTTTGAGTCACGTGGCCAGGAATGAGCTTAAAACAGCGACGAAAATGGGATGCTCTGAGTGGCCGCACCCCCATCTTACAGACTATAGAGGTATAACTATCCCTAAGCCAGAGTACAAGGTGATACGATACGTGATTATATGGCCACTGCTTCAATCTGTACGGAGTACAAAGACCAGAGGAAGGAAACTCTGATATTGGTGTATTACGTATTACAGCGTACTAGGTACAATACAAGAGACGCCATCCCAGGTCTACTACCTGGACAACTAAGAAGAATGGCGGTGGTTCTGATATTCCCTCAACAGTTCTGATATTTATCAATAACTAATAATCCCTTGATATGATATGTATGTTACATACAACTCCGTCATTAGTAAAAAACGTCATTCCCGTGCAAGCAGAGATTTCCTCAAAAGGCAGCGGCAGGCCTAGTAGTAGTGCCCAAACAGGCTAGCCCCCTCCGCGCCCGGCATTGGCCAAGTTAGTGAACGGCTGTTGGTTGGCTGTGGCTGTGGCTGTGGTTGGCTGATGCTTCCTCTTCCCCATAACATCCCCATCGACAATTAATAATAATAATCGACAACATCACACACCCTTCTCATCCTCATCCTCGCATTGAGTCGCTTGTTCTTCCCAACACATATACTTGACTCTAATACTATATATAACCCCGCTTCTTATTCCCCCTCCACGTGTTGTCCTTATCGCCGACTTACCCAGACAGCCCAGGCAGAGACAGCTTGTGGAATTGGACTAGGTCGCCTTACTCCTCCAAATAACTACCCAATCCAGGCCTCTCTCTCTCCGCACTTCTCGAACGATCCAACCCCAGCAGTTCTTCCCCTGCCGCCAACCTCTATTATAAATCCCTTCCCGCCCGTCCCCTCCCTCTCCCTCTCCCCCTCCGCTTTCCCTCTATTGTGGTGTACATCCTCGCCTGAGCGGTTACGTCTGAGATATGGCTACCCGAAAGAAGCTCCTCTTGAAGGTTCGTTTCGTTGGCTGTTTCGTCACAGCAAACCGCCTTCCAACTTGCCACCTTACTAACTGTGCTCTCTCTGTTCTTTGGAAATATATAGGTCATCGTCCTTGGTGATAGCGGCGTGGGAAAGACGAGTTTGATGAACCAATATGTCAGTTGCACTGAGCTCCTTGTCTACCATCTGCGGCAATTTCCGTTATGATATATGAATATTGGATGACTATGGGAAGAAGAACATGAAGCTTATTTATTTCATTTTATGTTGGGAGCATGGCAGGTCAACAAGAAATATAGCTCAAGTTACAAGGCGACGATCGGGGCGGACTATCTTACAAAGGACGTTTTGGTGGATGACCGATTGGTGACACTGCAGGTATGGCCTCTCCCTTGTTTACCTGTTGTCTCGCCGTCCTGCCTGGCGAACATGACTCCCTTGCGGTATGCAAGAGCTATTGCTGACTCCTTTGCTATCTCTTCTCTGAATATAGCTTTGGGATACGGCCGGGCAGGAGCGATTTCAGTCGCTAGGGGTGGCATTCTACCGCGGAGCCGATTGCTGTGTTTTGGTATACGACGTGAATAATTCCAAAAGCTTCGAGACCTTGGATAGCTGGCGGGATGAATTCCTCATCCAGGCGAGCCCGCGGGACCCTGAAAGTTTTCCCTTTGTAAGTAGTTCCAAGCAGGTCACACATATATATTATTTGCCGGTTCTTTCTACCTTCTCAAGGGTATGCGCTTACATGGTCACCGGGTTATAGGTCGTGCTGGGGAATAAGATCGACGTGGAAGAAAGCAAAAGAATGATATCTTCAAAACGAGCCACGACATATTGTCAGTCCAAAGGGAATATTCCTTACTTCGAAACTAGCGCCAAAGAGGCGATCAATGTCGAGCAGGCCTTTGAAGGTAGGTTTTTATTAAGGAGCTGCATTCCTCACGAAAGCGTTTTCATCTCTATGATCTAACTTATGATGCTTCTGAAAATAGAAATCGCGAAGAGCGCTCTGGTGCAGGAAGAATCAGAAGAGTACAGCGGAGATTTTGCTGATCCCATTAACATCCACCTTGATAACGATCGTGACAGCTGTGCCTGCTAATATTTTCCATTCCATCAAGTCTTACCCATACCCCCCCATGCCTGATAACCTTAGACTGTCATCTACGCATCAATCACCCGTTGGAAAGTATCTTGTTTTTGCACCTTTCCCAAAGTCCTGTGGAAGATGTTTTTTCAGTGAGGCGTCCTCCCTTTGTTACGTGGAAATATTGTTCTACTTTTCTCCATGAGCATTTCTCATCTTTCTTCCGTCTTTTCCTTTTCCCCTTCCCCACTTGTTCTGTTCATCTTGGTGTTCCTGGCGTTTTTGTCAATACTTTTTGATATTGCTACCTATATAGTTTCTCGCTATACTTAATTCATTCCCACCCTCTCGAGAAGTTGACAGAGCGGGGTTTTTTCTGAACATACATGTGGATATTGAACGGAGCCAGTAATGTATTGAATTTTTATTCTTTATTTTGGAAATATAAAGGCCCAGCAGGCCATGCCTCGAGAAATAGAGTTTGGAAAGTTAGATGTCTAGAGTGACTAAAGGAAACTTGTTGCTTAACAACAGCTATTTACAACGAGGGAACATGTTCCCGTACATACCTATCCTCCACTCTATTCCGTAGATGAAGGCGGATCTTTTTGCCAGTTGTTTATGAGACCTCTATACAGATTGGAGTTACAAAATACGGATCCCCGCAGATGGTTCGCGTTTGGTCAGATCTTCCCGCGCTAGTCCCAGTAGTAAACCGGGGGACGACGGCCTGCATTTTAACTCAATTGCTACAACTTTGTCCGTCAGCGTGCAACAAACAACCATGCAAGTTTTGTTGATGCTGAACTTTTTCAGCTCTGGCTAAAATCCCCACGAGCCACGAAAACAACAAATCCATTCCTCTCTTTCCCGGTGGGGAGACCAAATGTGGCATCCCTCCTCCTCTGAGAGCGATATATCTCCCCGGTCCCCACGCATTCGTTATAGCTCACTATGCACATGGCAGAGATCCCACGACCACTCACCATAGCTCTTTCTGGAGGAGTAGTTACTGTGATTCACCCTATCACATCCAGATCATAATATTGCCCACACATCTTAAACAAACGGGGGGGCGGAAGCTGGAGGGTTATTTCCATATCCCGAAACGGAGAACACGCGAAAGGAAAAAATGCAAAGGAGTACGGAGCGGCTGATGGACGGAGGAGGTGATGGAGGAGAGCTGTTGCAACAGCACCAGCAGCCGCATCACCACCATGATGGGACTCCTGTTGAGAACATGCAGGTCGATGATGAAGCTTCGGGAAGCGTCACGTCATCTGTGTCTGCTCCTGCGCCTGCACGGCCTAGGTCCAGATCCACATCCCGGTCACTGACTTCAGAGCGGAAACGGAGCGGTGCGAAGAAGTTGCCCCTGGGGATCGCCAGGCGGACATTGGGAATTATATTGCTTCTGATTGTGGTTGTGCTGTGGACGACGTCGAACTTTTTGGCCAGTGTGAGTTTTTTTTTCTTTTTCTCTTTGTATGAATGTTGCTTGCTTGCATATTTATTGCATATTGAACTGGCCGTTTCTGAGTCAGTTTAACATGTTGGTGTCGGGATTTATTTTATCTCTTCCCTTTTCATTTTTGCATACATAACAACACACCCCTATGGAACCAAAAACCGGGACTCTAACAGCTCCTTTCCCTTCTCCACGCAGACTATCTTTTCAGACGATACCTACTCCAAGCCATTCTTCGTTACATACGTCAACACTACCTTCTTTATCGTCCCCCTCCTCTCAATTCTCGGCCATAGACTCTTCCGCATATGGAGAGCCGGGAAACTATCCAAAGACACTACATTCCGCGCGCTTCTCGAGCAACTGGATTCACACGGGGCCGCGCACGAATATCGCCCGTTTCTAGCAGCGGATGATGATGTGAGTGCGCCCGGGGATTCTGTGCCGGGGGAGAGATACCAGCGGGTGCTGCAGGCGGATGATGGCGCGCTGGGTGACGACGACGATGATAAGATGGATGCTCCTCCGGAGAGATTGGGTTTTAAGGCTACGGCCAAGTTGAGCTTGGAGTTCTGTTTGGTGTGGGTAAGAAATGGCCACCCCCTCCTTTCTTGTTTTGGGTTTGATTGTTAGAACGGGTTCATTCACTAACATATCTGTATAGTTTATGGTATGTGGGAAAGCTTCTATGTATTCTGGGCTCCTTTGTTGAAAATTGGATTATTTACATGAGATAAATCTCGCAAAAATAGGCAAATTACTTCGCCGCAGCGTGTCTTCAATTCACAACCGTCGGAAGTACGACCATATTAACATCCACAAGTGGTATGAACTACACTCGTTTCCTCTAAGCTTTCCACTTTCTAGCACATGCTCTGGCTGTATTCCCCCCCCCTTCTTCCCATGCACCTTTTTCTTTTTTTGTTTTCAACTAATCTCACCCATGTATCCCCGCAGGTGTATGGACCCTGATATTCGGCGCTGTCCTGGGCGTGGAGAAATTCACCATCCGCAAAGCCTTCGGCGTCTTCGCCTCTCTAACCGGAATCGTCCTAATCTCCCGCGTCGACCTATCCGGCGCCAACAACGATGAAAACCGCGGCTCGTTCCCGCACAAATCGGCCACTGAAATCGCCATTGGCGACGCCATGGCCGCTTTCAGCGCCATCTTATACGGCGTGTATACGATCGTGATGAAGAAGCAGGTTGGAGATGAGAGTAGAGTTAACATGGCGCTGTTCTTCGGGCTGGTGGGGTTCATCAATACTGTCCTACTATGGCCGTGTATGATCATATTTCACGTGGCGGGCTGGGAGACGTTTGAGTTGCCGCATACGGGACGGATTTGGTTGATTGTGATTGTATGTGTTTTATATACGCACTCCTTTCCTCCCCCTTCTTTCTTTTGCCTTCCTGAAAAACATTTTTATGGATTTAAAAAGGCTAACGATATACCCAGGTTAATTCCCTAACCTCGCTTGTCTCCGACATCCTCTGGGCATATGCCATGCTCCTCACAACACCGCTGGTGGTCACCGTCGGCCTCAGCCTGACCATTCCACTTTCGCTTGTTGCGCAGATTTTCATCCAAGGACAATACTCTAGCGCGCTGTACTGGCTTGGTGCGGCGATTGTGTTCTGTTCTTTCCTGGTGGTTAATCATGAGGGGAAGGAGGAATCGTGACTTCCTTTATTTTGTATTTTTCCCTTTCCCTTGATGGTCATCGGTCCCTTTCTTGCGTTTAGAAGAAAGATTTTCTCACGTACATATATATATATATTTTTCTTTTTCAATTTCTGTAGATGATTAGAGAAGTTCGGGATAAAAAATTCGGGCGGTTAACTTTATACCATACTTCAAAAGTGTTTTTGATGGCTCTTCTCTTCTGCCTTTTTTTATCATTTTCGATTTTTATTTTTATTTTTATTTTTTATTTTTATTTTTATTTTTTTCGTTCACATTATTCCCCAATACTCAATCCTTGCCAAGACAGTTATCATGCCCTGCGAGGGAACACAGATGGTTTTTGATTTTTTGATTTTTGTGTCTTAATGGCTGAAAATTCGGTCCCTATATGGTCTATGGTTGTTGACTCGAGGTAAAGCCTGCTTTCATGATAGATGCCTAATGCCTATCCTTGCTTGAGTTCGTGTGCTTTTTCTATTTATGTCGCCCGTAAGCGTAATAATACATACATGTATAGGGTCGATGCTCAAGCACAAACAAACCCATAGCCTCAAAATTGAGAGAGGCTATTCCACTATGCCACACAGATATTCTCATTATGAGAAATGAAAAGGAGAAAACGCAGCGAGAGCAACTGGAAAGGGCTGATGAAAGCGCGCACACACACATATATATATAGGGGTCTATCGGTTAGCGAAGCCTTGAGCCCTGGCCTGGAGCTCTATATTCCCCTACGTGTTTTTCATGATAGGATCACTTGTGTCTGAAACCGGAGTAACTATAGAGTACTCTGTACGCTTCATTAAAAGTTCATAGCACTCGTTGGGTGGGATAACTAACACCCAACCCAACCTCCAAGATCGACTTGACCTAGACTTGGGCCTGCAACCAGATTACGGGAATAAGTCTCATCCTCCTCCTCCTCCTTCTTCTTCCTCATCCTCTGCTTCCTTTGCCTCCGAGTACATATCATCTTGCGCGCGGATTTGTGGCCCTTTAACAAGTAAACGATAATCACCAGGGCAGTAGGTGCGGCACAATTCCTTCATATCTTCGAATACCCTACAAGAGAGATATATATATACATATGTATATATTTGAGTATTAATTTCGGGGGAAAGGATGAGCGTAAGACTTCCACTTCTCACTGGTTGCAGCCTGGAATCAAGATAGCGGTTCCAATGTTGAATCCCAAGGAATTGAGCAGGTTTCTGCCACCCCAATCATCCTCTTCGCCGTATTATTAGCCTTCGGGGAATCACAACAATTTCATGTCAAGATACATACCGGCAAAGTTGCGCTTATAGGCCCTTACATAAGCCTTAGTTACTGCTCAACCGATGTCGAGATGCTCTCCAGGTTCCCACCACCTCGTACTCGTTGTGGCCGTTAGAACGAGCCGGCATCGAAGATAAATGGTTCTCCCGTCTCCACGTATCTTGCTGTATTCTCATCCCAACAGTCTCCATGAAAGGAGGCACGGCTTTATACTTCTGTCCTCGCTCTGAAGAGGATCTAGAAGTCTTGAAATGACTTTACTCAAACGTCAGATCGCAGAGCCGTTCGAATTCAGGCCAGCGTCCGTTTTTGTCGAGATCCGTCGTGAACATATGTATGGACTAGTTGTTTTCGATAAAGTGCGGCCCATGAGTCCTTCCATCTCGCAGTGACCTGAGTTGCTGTACCGTGACAGGTAGTGTGGTATGAAAGCCAAATTTGCCAGTTGGGAAACCGGACTTCTTGTGCAGCTTGGGCCAAACCTTGCTGTAAATTTGACCGCTGCTCACCGCCGACCTTCCCTGAAGTCTGTGAGCATGAAGTAACGTTCTTTCTTCTTATATTCCCCCCAGGCCCACGGCTTCGGGGTAATGGTTGGCATGACATTGTGAAGAGACTTCATGAATTCGAATTCTCCCTCGCACATGATCGAACCAGTTGGCCCCTTGAAGACCTGCATAGCACGTTCATGTCAGCAAGGAAAATAGCCTCTCACAAGAGAGCTCCGAGAACACCACTTTCAGGAAATAGTTTTTGGTGGTTCCGTCAGGCAGCTCTGCGATGATCTTGGCGCATCTTTCCCCACAAAGACCTGCCATAGGCGTAGGATGATACAACCTTAGTCCCCGACGAGAGGGTAGGCATGCTGAGTTTATCTCACTCTCTATCACAGCCTCATCGAGAAAAAAAAGTTTCCGTATGTACTAGGTTTTACGATATCCTCCTGGGGCCTCACATTGTTTGGCCGGTTAACATGGGGGGGGGGGGGGGCGGGGTGATTGGTTGACATTCCTACAATGAACGATAGGCAAGTTGTTGATGTCTTTCATTTTGTCTACCTTCTTACACTTTGAATTTGATGAGTTCCTCAGCACTTAGGACCTACTGAGAGCCGCGGGGAAGCACTCTCTGCTGAATTTATACCCCCATTAAGGAGGGGCGGGACGAGCGGCGTAATGGCAGGCTAAACTGGAACTATTAATAAATAGAGCAGAGACGGAGGTTCATGCAAGATCCCCCGCTTATTTATTTAGCTCGGACCGGGAGCACAGCTGTTCCACGGTTTATGGTGTTCAGTCCCGACTTAGAACAAGTTGCGGTTGCTTATTTATCGTGGTCAGCCCGTGTTTGTATGGTGCATCAGCCGTTACAAACGGCTGCTGCAACAGTGTATCCAACAAGGGGATGTCTACAAGAAAGAGAGAGATGTGTGGAACTCACTGGATGTGGTCATTTTGCAGACTGAGTGCTCCAATGTCTTGATCTTATTATACCAAGATACAAAGCTTGTGGATTGGAATATTCACTATGACACTCAGACTGAGCATTCTCATAGCAGGGTTCAAATGGCAACAGAGTAACTAACTACTATACTATCACTGAAGTTTATCACTTCAGTCAATCAGGACAAGTTATTATTCTTTGATAATTACAGCAGCCAATAGTGACATTTGAGTCAAATGAATTTTTGAAATGTTTTTCAGTGTAAAAGCTTAATTCCACATAATACTCAATACAGAGCAGAGAGTAACTATATATTTATTGCCGTAGATGATGAGGTTGGGTCAAGCGAAGGCAACGTCCATCCATCTCTGCTGAATCACGCATCCCTAGCCTCATTCATCAAATCAAGAATGGTCAAAGAAATGAAGCCTTTTCTCGAAAACTATAATATATTAACAATCATTGATCATTAGAATTTTGATCAATACATTTAAGATATTGAAACTGAACATTAGCTCAAACAAAAAGAACGACAAACTACGTGGAGAGCAGAGGGGCAAAATGTGTGTATATATAATCTGTACATTGGTAACATAATCCACAAGCAAGTGAGTCACTCAAGCAAGCAAGCCCACCTTAATACACATATAAATGAGTTATTTAGGAGGCTGCACCAGCAAGGAAGCGCGTTCACCAGCGACGACGCTATCTCGAACTCGTAGCGACTGGCCCAACATCAACACACGCATCACACTTTCCGCCGCATCCGTTAAAAGCCGCTCTGCATCTGCAATAGCGACCTCAAGAGGTATCGGCCCTTGCATTATACTCGCAAAAGCGTCGATGCCAATCAAATAATTGGCCGCAGCATCGGGGCCAACTGTACCCGCAAGCGCAATGACGGGCAACCCATGCTTCTTCGCACGCAAAGCGACCTCTGCGGGGATCTTGCCCTGCGGCGTCTGAGAGTCAAGGCGTCCCTCCGCAGTGAATACTAAATGGCAGTTTCTGAACAGGTCGTCGTTGATGCCGAAGTATTCTGTCACTGCCTCGTAACGGGGCCGCAGCTTGGCACCGAGGAGTAGGAGGCCGGTACCCATTCCGCCAGAAGCTCCGCTGCCAGGGACGGTGGATATGTCGCGCCCTAGCTTTCTGCTGACGGCGGAAGCGTAGGCATTCAGTGCGGTGTCGAGTAGCTCGACCTCGGCGGGGGTCGCGCCTTTTTGCGGTCCGTATACACGTGCAACGCCCTTAGGACCGCACAGGATGTTCTGGCAGTTGCACGCGACTTCAATTTCAACGTATTTTAAACGGGGATGGAGGCCGGAAAGGTCTATATCTGCAACTGTGCAAAGGGCTGCGCCGCCACTTGCCGGCGCAAGCTCATTTCCGTGGATATCAAAAAAATGTGCACCCAGGGCCTGGAGCATGCCAGCACCTCCATCGTTGGTTCCTGAGTCGCCGCAGCCGACGATGAGTCGCTCCACTCCTTCATCTAGGGCTGCGCGCATCAACTCACCGACTCCGTAAGTAGTTGTGATGGTTGGGTCACGGGAGTCTTTGGGAACCAAGCGCAACCCTGCGGCAGCAGCCATTTCTACAACGGCAGTTTTCTTCGACTGGTCCCCACCAAGGATACCATAATGCGAGATGAGAGGAATGTTAACAGGGCCGGTGATTTTCAAATGTCGAAGTTCTCCACCAGTGGTGGCAACAAGGGCATGGGCGAACCCCTCTCCTCCGTCGAATAAGGGGGCTTTCTGCACGATTACATTTGGGAGGACGCGTTTGATTCCCTTTTCGATGCAATCAGCTACGACAAGTGTATCGAGACTCTCCTTGAATCCCGATGGACAAACAAGGATGCGCAAGGGTGATTGCACTTCTGGCGGTGGAATTGGGATATTGATGGGATCATCGTTGCGCATCTGCATGGGAATGACCTGTGCTATCATTTTTGTCTTGGATCGCGGTTTCGAGGGTGTGCAAACGAGCGTATAAGATTGCTTGATAAGGGCAAATATGGGTATAACGAGAGAATAAAGCGAATGTATGATTTGTTCATGGAACAACATGTTTCAACGAGAGGATACTGATCTACTCTATGCAACAATATGCGTCCTCCGGCTCTAATTTATGTTCCTGATGGTCCTACTAGCCCTGCCACCACCGGGCTGCGTATGCAAAAGTCATCTTGCTGCGGCCCGATCTTTCGATATCAGTGTCATTTGACTTCATGTGAAATCAGTCGTACTAACTACCGTGCGCCTTGCGGAAATGATGTCTTGATAGCCTGGTTCACTCCGTTCTTCATCGATGGAAGCTTTTCACATTTCTGTTCGACGTTTAGCCTATATTCTATTCTAGCATGGAAACGGCCTGCGCAAAAGATACACGTATATAGTGACGCGTATCCGACTTCCTTAAAACCAAATCAGTCAAGCAAGTCGATGAACCAACAAAACGAAGGATTATCACTGCCAATAGGAGGAAGGCCTTGGGAATCACGCCGGGTTCGCTACCGGCTTCGGGCATGGAAGAAGAGAATTTTCAATTTTCCTTCATTGGCAGGATAACACCGAAAGCCCTACTTGAGCAAAAAAGGAAATCTATAACGTGGCCAGCAACCGAATTCGGACTCGGCCCGTTGGCTCCATCACCAGCGGCTACCTACCACTGCCCCTGCCAACCTTCTCCTCCAACAAATCATGGGCAATCTAGCTCAGCATGGGATGACACGGGAAGGTTTCAACCAGGGCCTATGCAAGGCCAGTCACCCAGCAACGCTTAAGGGTGCAGACTCACAGGTAGCTCTGGTGTTTTCGGTTGTCTCACTCGAAACGTGGGCAGTGCAATGTCGGGATCTACTGCTGCAGTTTTCTCCGAGACAAAGGTGTCTCTGACTGTCTTTTAGATACCTAGAGAGTAGCCCTTGAAGGCAGAAGTTTCCCGTTGTATCAAGAAGTATATGCTCGCAGGAGTGGTCGTCATCGCCATAGGGCTACCACTAAGGTGGACGTCCGATCATAGCATGATACTCTAGATACCAGCAAAATCTAGGGCATGGATTTCGGGTGGCCGAGTTCAAGGGTCAACTTTAGCCGAGCATCGCCGCCGGGGAAGAAAGGTAAGTCACATGTACATTACATACAAGGATAGGGCTGAGGGATGAACAATGCAGAATCCGTTGTCGCTAGCCTTGTACTAATATGAATTGCCTTGCTTCGTTACAGAGTACGGAGTAGTTGCTCCTCCATTCATTCCCAGGCTGTTGGTTAGCTGCACTGGCACAGCCACAGCCTCGGCCCCATGTCTTGCTCCACAGTTGCCCCACAGTTGCTCCACAGCTGCCCCATAGCTTGATCCACTCTAATCCAACGTCGGCTGTGGCTGCTTAACCACGTCAGCCACGAGTCGTCATCAGTTCGATGCTTTTCTAACTATAGCATGGCATGCCGCATGTCCATACATCTTCTACACATTATTATTCTCCGCACAGTCTCCGTGGGTGCTTCGGGATGTTGATTGGTTTTAACTTGCATGCATAATACGAGCGCTAGCAGAAGCTTAGAACCATTTCACCTAAAAAGCAGTGTCACCGTTGATCCTGACATTCAGGGCAAAGCTCCGACCGAGTATAGTATCTCTAATTGATCAGGTTTCTTGTTACTTGTTACAATGTGGGCATAGTAATGATGATGAATCAATTCCTAAGGCTCTCTTATGCAGGGTTACCACTCTTAGCAGTGCAGAATGTCTTTGAATCCTGCATGGTCAGTCAAATGATCGTGGCGGTGTGGAACAGTTTTCCTAGGTTCCTGAAAAGTGTCTCCGATATTTTTCGGATGTTCTGATGTCTTCAAAATGCCAGATGGATCTGCATTTTATGCCTGATCTCATCTAAGATCGGAACGCCATACACTCGTTTACTTTCACCATATTCTATTGTTGGGGCTTCTCGCAAAATTTCAATGGAAACACGCAATTCCCGCAATGGGAGGATTTCTCCTTCTATCCCGTCCGTCATTTCTCGCACTTCTACGATTGTAGATGAATATCAACTCCCACCGTTAAGCTTCACACCGTTTGCGGAATACGTCTATCACTCTCCCAACGGTAGATTCTCAAGTGACAATTTTGAAGAATGTAGTGAGTAGCTCAACCACAAGGAGTTCAAGCCTCAAGCCGTTTCCTTTATTATGAGACTCATCCTTTTCTGTATCTAAGATCCGACCCGATGTGGACAATATCAAGGATACCAAGGTGCTGAAGCCGCCAGGCTGGCATTAATACAAAGCTCAAGTAAAGATCCAAATCTGGTAAATCCCCCGACTCTTGTTTCCTCAATGGTCTAGTTTGCTGAATGGGACAGGTTACTTGGTCTGGTCCAGAAGACCCTGAAAATCCTCTCAATTGGGCTCATTCTGCGAAGTGGGCTGCCGTGCTTATCGTCTCGTCCTTCACCTTCATCTCGCCTGTGTCATCCACCATGGTGGCACCGGCGTTAGCCACGATAGGGAAGGAATTTGACATTACTTCGTCTATGGAGCAAGTCTTAGTCATGTCAATATTCCTCCTGGCATATGCTGTTGGCCCTTTTGTACTGGGCCCTTTGTCAGAGATATTCGGCAGAGTAGCCATCCTGCAGCTGGCAAACTTATTCTACTTGGTTTTTAACACTGCATGTGGTTTTGCGCAAACCAAGCAACAAATCCTGGCGTTTCGGTTTCTTAGTGGTCTTGGAGGAAGCGCACCACAAGCTGTACGTCCGTCCCTTAAAAAAAGCATGCATAATTTCCTTTCGCCCTAATTTTCTGGCAAAAATAGCTGGGTGGAGGAGTCATTAGCGATTGTTGGAGAGCTGAGGAGCGTGGGAAATCCATAGCTGTATATAGCTTGGCTCCTTTCATTGGCCCTGCTATTGGCCCTGTTGGTGAGTGAAATACACTTGACACGGCACAAGCCCTTCGAAGAATCACGCTTGAAACTAACTACCACAAAGCTGGGGGGTTTATAGCAAAACACACTACCTGGCGCTGGATCTTTTGGTCCGTCTCCATTGCTGACGCAGGTGTCCAAGTTGTGGCTTTTCTTTTCCTCAAGGAAACCTATGCACCTAAACTTTTGGCAAATAAAGCTAAAAAGCTACGACAGAGCACCGGAAATAATGCTTTGCGGACCAAATGGGAAATGGAAAACAGTACATTCAGTATCCTTTTGCGCAAAAGCCTTGTTAGGCCGTTCATTATGCTGGGCACACAGCCAACAATTCAGGCCCTCGCGTTATATCGAGCATATTTATATGGGCTCATGTATCTGGTGTAAGTAGTACTGTTTAATGAATATTTTGTTTCTCCCATACGTGAGGGAGACAAAACACATAACTAACATCTCTCTACAGCCTTTCATCTTTCCCCCTCGTTTGGGAAGGAGTATACAAACAAACCACCGACATAGCAAGTTTAAATTACCTGTCTCTAGGCGTCGGGTTTGTGATAGGCCTGCAAATATGCGCTCCAATCATGGACAGAGTCAGTAAAGAAGTTGTATATGCTTCATCTACCCCTGGTTAACCCAGATCTCCCACCTCAATCCATCCCTAACTTCTAGCGGAATCCCAAAATCTAAAATCAAAGAAGCTAACCAACCCCAAGATCTACATACGCCTAAAAGCCCACTATAACGACCCAGGCCGTCCCGAATTCCGCATCCCCCTCATGCTACCCGGTGGACTCCTAGTGCCCATCGGCCTCATGACTTACGGCTGGACCGCGCAGCCGCACATCCACTGGATAATCACCAACATCGCATCTGCCATCTTCGCAACGGGCCTCATCATCGGCTTCCAGTGCGCGCAGGCCTACGTTGTAGATGCATACACCCAATATGCTGCGTCCGCGACGGGCGCGGCTGCTTTTTTGCGGACGTTGGCTGGATTTAGTTTCCCGCTCTTTGCGCCTACTCTGTATGCTCGGTTGGGTTTGGGCTGGGGGAATGCATTGTTGGCGTTCATTTCGGCGGGGTTGGGGATTGTGGCGCCTGTGTTATTGTGGAGGTATGGGGAGTTTTTGAGAAGGAAGAGCACTTATTGTGCCGGGTGAGTGGGACTTTCGGGAGGGAGGCAGATGTGGAAAAAAGTGTATATATGGCTGATGGAAGTAGTCTGAATGGCAGGGATGTATGTATGTACATTACTATCTCTCTTTTGCGCTTCATGATGATAAATTCATTGTATCTAATGACATTTACGGAGTAAACAATGACTGAATAAGGATGATATGTTTTTTGATTCTAAGTATATTGGGCGGGGAAATTATCTTAAAGTGGAGAAATGGATAAAGATGATAGCATCCTGCGCTTAAATTTTCATTTTTCTTTTCAAACCGTTCGACCAGAGCCAGCACTTAATTAGGATTTGAGAGCATCATTTCGAGCTTGAAGCCCAGCTGAAGGAGAGAAGTAGCATAGTTATTCTCTTTGATCTTATTTTTATCCATCCCATACTCTAAACTCCTCCCGCAAGTGAGCATAGAATGTAGGCCATATACTAAATTTAGACAATTAACAAAACAAAATCCCCATCATCCTTAAAAAAAAGAAGAACAACCCCTAATTCTTCTTCCTCTTCTTCGCCAACCTCTTCTCCGCCCTAATATCCTTCTTCATCCTCGAGTCCACAATCTTATACTTCCCCTTGACCCCCCTGGGCCTGCCAGAATACCCTTATTGGCCCCCTTCGCCACACAAGCTTCACATTCTGCTTTGGCTTCTTCTTCATCGCGCGACTCATCATGCGCGCAATCGTCTGCGCATTATCCTTCTCGCTCAGCGCCTCGTCTTCAGCCAGCAACGCAGACTTCTTGCGCAGTTTCTCCAACCGCTGTGCAGCCCTGAACTTTTTGCGGCCCTTGGCTTCCAGCACCTTCTTGATAGGGCGCGCGTTTATGGCGCGCATCTTTTCGCGGATTGCGGCCGCTGCGGCGGCGGTGATTGGTCGTAGGGGTTTGGAGTGCTTGCCTTCATCATCTAGGAACCACTCGGGGAGTCCGTCGTTGTCGCGGAAAGTGTACTTGTTGAATCCGTCGTCGACGACGTCTTGTGTTGTTTTCTCGCCCGTGACGATTTGTTGGGCAAGAGCCATGGCTTCCGCTGTTATTATGTCGATGTCTGACATGAATTGTTAGTGTCGATTACTTCTAGACCCAGGAAATAACTTGAGAAGGGCAAAGGTTTACCAAGTTGTCCATTTTTCTTTCGGGGATCTTGTTTCTCCTCCTCTTCAAAGTCAGGGGATATATCATTTCCCTTCGGGTTCATTTTACTTTTGGATTCACGTTTCTCGGATGTTTGTTTCCTGTCAAGCTTTGGGGGCTGTTGGGTCTCCGAATTATCATCGTCGCTCTCAGAAACATCAGAATACTCATCATCTTCCGCTCCATTTTCTTGCTGCTGAGCTGCAGTCTCTCCCTCAGAACCTGTCTCACCTCCCTCATCTTCCTCATCTTCATCACCCAGGTCTCCTAAGCCCTGGAATATATCTTGATCGAAAAACATCGCAGCTTTGTTAGACAAGCCCTTGCTATCAACAGCAGGTCGCGGAATTGCATCGTGCAACCTAGTATCGTCGCCATCTGTATCCTCGCTACCCTCTTTATCGGAATCAGAAATCCCTTCCCATTCCTCCGTTTCAAAGTCTTTGCGAGCTTTTTTGGCGCGTAATTTTGCATCCCGATCCTCCCGATCAGCTCTGTATCGTTCGTACATGGAATCTAACTCGCGCTCTAACCGATCTTCCTCTTCATCTGAGTCCTCATCAATGGTTGACGAATCGTCCTCCTCATCGTCACTTTCAACAGGCACCATCTTGCCGCTTGTTATTTGGCTTACATCACCGGCACGGTTAACGGGCTTAAGTGCAAACATAGCGCCTTCTCCAATAGGTCCAGATTGTTCGATACCGATCTCCATGGGGGTTGTCATATGCATCTGCATCCGTACTATTTCCTTTTGTTTTCGCTCATTCTCCTTTCTTCGTTCCTTCTTTTTCCTCGACGTCTCCTTGTCCCGCATCCGTTGTAGATCCTGTTGGATTGCAAGCTCCTCATCCATTGGTTCTACCTCAGCTACCTCTTCGCTCTCATCTGGTTTACTAGGCCCTTTTTTCACAGCTAATCCAAACTTTTCCCGCACTTTTATTCGCCATCTCAACAAATTACGGAACTCTTTCTTCCCCAAAACTTTGAGATCTTCGCAACATAGTTGAATTTCCTTTGTGGTTTCTGGAAGTCGCGCGAGGGTTGCCAAAGCAAGGTCTCCACCAGTTGACTGCTCAAAGCTCAACTTGTTGTATTCTCCCAAAATTGAGATTGGATCAGTCGTGTTTATGAACTCGCTGACGGGAATTTCTTTGAATTGAGTGTAATTTCCTTCCTCGTACCCATCTCGCTTCCGCTTCTTTTTCTCAGGATTAAACACTTTTGCCTCGTGGTTTGGAGTAGGATCTTGCAACTCGGCGAAGACATGTCTAGGATCAAGGAATTTTGGGTCGATGTGTTTGGGGGCCTTGAAACCTTGGCAGACAACGAAAATTTCGGCAGAAACGTTTCGTGACGAAGGGGGCTTTGTGGCCTCCACGTTGTTAAAAAGCTGTTTAAATACCCACAATAACGGATTATAATCTTTTGACCTGAAGACTTTGGTAACGAATGTTCCTCCTGGAACCAGGAATTCGGTGGCGAGCTTCAGAGACTGAAGTACGAGCTCTGCTTGAGAGAAAGCATCTTGAACCCACGCTACACCAACGTTTGGTGCACCATCATGGAGAACAGTATCTGCTTTCCACGTTTTAAGATGCTGACGTATCGTAGCACGACATTTATCCGTGGTAATATCGCTCTGGAAAGTAATGACTTTGGGAATCGGTTTTATGGGCGCCAGGTCGACGCCGATAATTAGAGACTGTGAGGGCATGCATTCTGCAGCAACTTGACACCACGACTACAATGGTCCAGGAACATTGATCAGTATACATGGAGCAACAGGGAGCCGGAGGGGCATGGTTACAGGAACTTACGCCAGGTGCAGCACAAAGATCGATTACAACTTTGCTCTTCTCCAAGAACCCATACTTTTTGTTAAGCTGGATCAACTTGAAAGCAGCACGAGCTCGATAGCCCTTCTCCTTTGCTAGCTTATACCACTTGTCCAAGCGGCCTTTGCCATGCTAGTAGTGACTGTTAGAATGCGATCAAAAACTAAATGCGCGAGGAGCTTTCGCATACCTACCTTCTTCTGGATGGCCATGGCTGACCTTTGCTAGGCGGATCAATTAAACCGAAACTGCAGGGATTGGAAGACAATCAGGAACATGAATCCAACCAGTGCTGCCGAACAAATTGGCCGTTGCGGTATGTTTTTCGACCGTTGTGGCTGCTGTTGTTGCTCTCCCGCATTTCTTCCGATGTTTTTTTCCAGATGAGGCTGGTGCCTGCCAAGACATCTCGCTCCAGCCACAGCCCTCAAGCCCGATCACATGACAAATGCAAACATATTACATCATGGTCATTCCGCGCCAAGCCCCTTCCTGAGCCACGAATGCGGCGCAACAGACAACAGACAACAGATCGAACAGCTTCCACGACTCTCCTCCAACGGTTCTTTTCTCGCCCTCCTTGCCGACCCCAACACTGCCGCAATAGTTACTTGTCATATTGACTGTTTTCTGTGTTATGAGTTCCCTCTCCTATCGATGGCGCCCGCGGGACCGCGAAAGCGGGTGAATCCAAACGACGAAAACGGCGAGCCAGCAGCCGCCTCTCAGGCTGGCCCCGTGGACTCTGACGCTTCCGCAGAGACGCGAACGCTAGACATTAAAAATGATAATAGGACGGTAAGAAAGCCAGATTTTGCTACGTTGTGTAGGAAGTTCTGTGGTAATTTTTGAGTAATTGATTAGACCTGGTATAACCCATCCTGGCCCCGCAAGCCCAAGGCACCCGCGGTCACGGAAGTTGCTCGTGAGAGCATTTCTGCTGAAGCAGCTTTGACGCCGGAGCGGAACTCGTCAGTTTCAACGCCTCATAACCAAAGTCGACCTGTTAGGCCGCCCTCCATCGGACTTACGAAGAAAATCGGAGGATCCACGAGGTCACTGCCTGCGGAAGTAGCCACCACACGGATCAATATTGCTTCAATTGGCTCCGCTTCCGTTCCGGATATGTCGATATCCGACAAAAAAGTTGAAGGCGACACACAGCATAGTATAACTGGTGGCTCAGCGCCCATGTTACCGACTGTTTCGATAGACGCCCAAAACGGCAAAGTTACCAAGAAACTCAGTGATCCGGCGGACACCATTCCGGATAGTAATCAAGATAAAAAAACAAATCAAAACACACAGCCTACTCAGACGTCAGGCTGGCTTGGTTGGATTCCGCTCCCAAGAATCGGCGGCGAATCCACTCCGAAGCCAGGGCAAGCAGATCAGTCGGCCAATGCTGCTGGAGTAGCCATACAATCTAACAAAGATGAACCGTTACCCCGTGCAGACGAAGAAACCGAACAAAATGATACTGAACAGCCTACAATTACAATTGAGCAAAAATCTACTGCCCCTGAGGACCCAGCTCCTACAAAGCGAGCCTGGTTCTTGTGGGGTGGTAAATCCGCTTCCTCGCAACAAGCGGAAAACTGGCAAAATGAGAGTCATGCGCAAGAGAGTAGAACAAGTGCGGACACTCAAACTCCCGCTGCAGAGTCTAGTGATATAGATCTGCAGACCGACCACAAGGCACTCCTATCGGACAGCAGCAATGTTGATATGACAGTCGCTCCTTCAAGGGCAGCATCGTCATATAGTTGGTTCTTTTGGTACAGAGAGGTACAGACAAGGCCTGCTGGGACAAGCACTAAGAACCTAGAACGAACAGAGGATTCAACTGGCACTGCGGAATATCAAAACCAGGCATCGGCGTCGATTAGGGTTTCGGAACCTGAGGTAGCGACGCCAACTCCAGCAGAAGCAGTATTGCCCGGCCAACAACCCAACTCAAGCATTAAAAAGACCACTGCACCTACGAAGGAAAGGTCTCCTGCTGCTTCGACAACGAAGATTTCGTTCCCTAACCAGGTGCTTCCCACATTAAAGGCTAGCTTCCCTGTACCCGAGCGGCCTAGTATTATTCGGCAACTTGGTAGTTTGCTCTTCTCTTACAACTACCCCGAACCCCGCCATGTAACACTGACAAATGACCCACCACGTGTGAAACGTGCGCTTGCGATCGGGGTACATGGATTATTTCCAGCACCGTTAATTCGCACTGTCCTTGGGCAACCGACAGGCACATCCGTCAAATTTTCAACTATGGCAGCGAAGGCTATTTCCTCATGGACGGAGTCCCATGGATATTCGTGTGAAATCCAGAAAATAGCTCTTGAAGGTGAGGGGCGCATCTCAGAACGTGTAGATTTGCTTTGGAAATTGCTCCTCAATCATATCAATGATATCAAGAAGGCCGATTTCATCTTGGTAGCTTGCCATAGCCAGGGTGTTCCGGTCGCGACCATGCTGGTTGCGAAGCTGATAGCTTTTGGTTGTGTGAGCTCTGCACATATTGGCATATGCGCCATGGCGGGTGTCAATCTAGGGCCATTTCCCGAGTATCGATCTCGCTGGATTAGTGGATCAGCTGGCGAATTATTCGATTTCGCGAACCAAAAGAGCAAGGTCTCACAGGACCACTTGGCAGCGCTTGAAACTGCTCTTGACTTCGGCGTGAAGATTGTGTATGTGGGAAGCATAGATGATCAACTGGTGTCATTAGAGGTATGTACATTCTTGTAGGAGTGTTGCTGTGCATATGGGAAGCATAGAAAATGCTGATTTCATTCAATTCCAGTCATCTATTTTTTCAACTATTTCGCATCCCCATATTTACCGAGCGGTCTTTGTGAATGGCAGAGTCCACGCTCCCAGTTTGTGAGAAAATATCTATATCCTCGGTCAAAAAGGCAACATTTTCTGACAACACCCCTTCATACAGCCTATCACAACTCGTTGGTTTCGCGATGAAACTACGTAACCTTGGAATATCTGATCACGGGCTTATTCGGGAGCTTAGCTCTCCCCTTGCTGGAAGTTTATATTCTGGCGAAGGCCATTCCCGTTTATATGACGACGAAACACTTTACCGGTGAGATTTTACAGTCTCCTCTCTTCAAACAAAGCGCCAAAAAAAAAAAAAAAAAAAAAAAAAAAAAAAAAAAAAAAAATACATGAGATACCCTCAGCAAAATGTGCAATCTATTGACAATTCGTTTTCTTTCAGACTCGCTATCGAGTTCACGCTCGAAACGCTTCCCGTTCCCAATGCCAAACTAGAAATAAACACATCGAGCCGTTCACCAAACGGAAACCCATACATCCTCCCTTTCGCCATGCGAGGTGTCCTGGAGGAAGAATACGTGCGACGCGAATTATCCGAGGAAACTTCGGAGCTCCTGAAGCTGTTTGACGACTGGAAGCCTTCCAGCAAGGTACTGAAAGATGTCAAGTTTCGCCTTGAAGGGATTAGGTCTAAGCTTTGAGCGATGCCTCTTTGACCTTCTCCTGTCTATATCTATTTTACAGCGTGGTCAGTGAATGGCGTTGTTCTCGTTTCCCAGGAAAAGCGGTGCGTTTGGAATGTCGCTGCTTTCTATTCTTCTGAATTCTTCATTTGCCCACTGCTTCTTTCTTTAGCGGCATTATAGATAGATTTTGTCCTGTGTACGCACACGTTCTACTATCTTGTTGATGTGTGTCGTTTATTCCGTCCTGGTTCCTGCCTGTCTTGGATATGATATTCCTTTGTCGAGCTGTTCAACGCGGGGGGGGGGATGGTGATGTGATCTAATGTAAATAGATAATGTAATTTAGTAACGGTAACCAAATACGCATCTTATAAGTTACAGAGGAACATGTCAGAAAGTGAAGAAGCTACGTGGAATGTGTTAGGGTTAAGGGAAACAAGGGTGTATAATAAGTCCGAAAAAAATACGCCACGCATTATGCATTGATTGCTAACTGAGGGACTGTGGCGACTAACGATATTGGTATATAGACGAGAAAAATTGCAAGAAATAAAAGGCAGAAAGATGTGTAATATACAAGGGAGAGAGGTATCCGGGAAGAAATATGACCTCTAGGCCAACCTAAATAAATGGACAGGCGACATCCCAAACAAAAAAGTGAAAAACGAAAATGAAGACGAAAAAAAAGGGAGGTGGTAAGGAGAAGGAAGAAGAAAATTGGCGGGTATGATGAAAAATGAGGCTAACATATCCAGAAAGATTATGTATATGAAGGGAAATATATCCTGGAAATAAATATATGTGAAATCAGGCGTAAAGTGAGGGTGGGTCATGGAATCATTCAAATCCGCTGCAAGTGAGGAGAGAGCGAAAAAAAAAAGAGGAAAGAGAGAGAGAGGAGATAAGTGAAATGTATCCGCTGCAAATTTAGCATCCCGCTTGGTCGTTCGCGATAGCCAGAGAGCGGGAGCAGAGGCTTGACGTGATTTCCGAGATGGGAAGACTAGATTTAAGATAGTCGAAGAAACTCTGCGGGCTAATTATGGCTGCGGGAAAGCTGTCATGAAAGCGCCTTCAATTTCGTCTAGCACGACCAAAAGAGGGCAATGATTAGATTTATTCCAACAAAGGAGCTTTCAACAAAAGTGTAAACTACTAACCTCTCATTCCATCCAGCGCCTCAAACGCTATTGAATAGTTTCTAACGGCAGATATCACACACTCCAAACCATACTGAAGCTCATCCGCTAAGTCGTCAGAGGGTTTTAGTGGGTTTCCTTCTACACTGCTAGTGTGGTCTATGACTCGAGATTTATAATAAAGCATGAGCATGGCATAGCTGCTCTGCATGGCACAGCAAGCAAAAGAAGGCATAGTCCGTGGAAGGGCGGAAGCAGGATCATCCGAAGGCGATCGCGACCTTGGGGAGATACTTACTAGATCCTTATCATCGTATATTGGGGTCGGATACGGGAGGGTGCGGAACATGTGAGCGATGGTGAGAGCGGAGTTTAAACAGATCTCCGTTGATTCGTGATTCGTGAATGGAAACGCATCCTCGTTAACCCAAGTTGAGGAGGATGTGGTGGCGCCAGAGACATCTGATGTTGTCGAGCAAGAGGATGGAGATTGACCCGACGGAGGTATTGTAGGAATATTAGATAAGTTGGTTGAAGCGCAGCAAAGCTTTGAGCTTCCTTGTGCGTCGGCCTCATGCCCTAGGTACCCTATGCTGGCGCAAGTGAGGTCGCAGTGTTTTTTGATAAAAATGGGGATATCCAAGAATGCACGGAAACGGTGAGTTTTGATGTGGGCGCTGTTACCATCAGTTCCGCTGTTCATGTACACTAAAAAAAAGGAGCGCAATTATACGGAGTGATCTTACCTCGAAAGCTTGAGAAGGGATATTTTTCGGATACTTTGCGCAGTTATTGATTCAGAATCAGTCATCCCATTCAAGGGAGGCATAGATGGGGTAGTCGTGGCGTGGGCCAAAACGGGCCGAATCCAAGCGTCAACTTTTTTCATCCGCTCGTATATATATGACATGTTGCCTCGGGCTTTTAGGGCTTGATTAAGATCAAGAATGAATTGAGTCCCAGCAACAAGAGCGTGCTGGGCTCGCATTAGGATTGACCAACCCTAGACGGTAGATGAATTAGATCACGGACCTGGGTATTAAAATATGAATTAATCTTACCTCTGGGTCCGAAGCGAAACGCGGAAACGGGGTCACAAATCGCGGGTCGTTGAGAATGATTGTAGGAGGCTTTCATCGAAAGATAAATCTCAGCCACAGCATTCGAAAAATATATATCCTAGCGTCTTTAGTAAAACTTACAGTCGTGCTCACGATTGAACCTTGGCAAACGCTGTAATACTGCAGGGCCATATATATATTAGTTCAATGGATATGATAAACTTCCATGGGACTAGAGTTTTGCATACGGTCATCCACCAAGCGCGTCGTTTCGCTTCAGAATAAATGTTATCTTCAGGTGGCAACGCATGCAACGACATATTCATTGCCGTAACAAAAGCCTGACCAGCACGGTGCCGCATTTTGACAAGATTTCCTCGCTGGGCATACTCGTAAACACTAAGAATTAGAAGTGCTAGAACGGCTTCTAATTCAACAGGTACGTGCGGGTGAAGCGATGGTCGTTTAGGGACGGGATGTTCATTGAGAAGGGCCTGAGAAGGGTTGGCGGCGGACTCCGCAAGATCGGATTCCGCCTCAACGCTGTCCAAGGAGGCTTTAGAAAACCACTGAGCATACGACCTTCGAAGGAGCACTGACTCTGGTGAAGAAGGATTTGGGTCTTTTGGATGGGGAACGAGTGCAAGAATGGCTGATATTGCAAGGCTTATGGGCGACTTCGGTATATAACCCAAGGGTGTTTCTGTGGCCTGTAATTTTGGATTAGAAGATTTCCCTGGGGAATCCAGGGGGCGGTCCACTGCGATGGGAGCATGTGCAGGAGGGAATATCGGAAAATATTGATGGATAAATATGTAATATCCATTTAATCTGCAAACCAGATTAGCAAAATTTCTATGGCGCCTAGAAGAGTGAACGCTGTATCATCTATCATTCCTACATGGAAGGCATGGAAACACCTACATGTCATGTTCGTTACCGTATACCCTTACCCGTGAGGGATCCTGGCTAGGCATATTAACGGGAACGGGCTCTGTAGCTAGCGTAGCACGCGATACATCTCCACTAGCAGGTACCATTAAATCTTCAAACATCGACTGGACTTCCGGAGAAAAGTCAAGATGTCTCAATCCAGCTCCTGGCACAGCAAGGGAGTCGAATTGATCAAACACCGCTAATAAAGATAGGTCCATAAGTACTTTTAGTCTTCCGGCCACAAGTAAAAAAAAAAAAAAAAAAACGCAAACATAATAGTTAACTATCAGATAGTGCTCATTTACCTTCATGTACGCGGGTAAGAGGGAATGTTGACACCCATGACTTATCATGGGGTTCCAAACCCAGGGACGAGGGCTGTCCCACTTTTTTTTTCCGTGGGCCTCCCCGTTTGCTAGGGAGATAGCTGCATTCTTTCCCCTTACTGGCGCACTGGGTTTAAAAATAATAGTGTTTAGCAAAAAAAATGCTTCCGCTCTGCTTGTCCATACATCGCTGGGACTGGGGGCAGGGATTGGACATACCCCTGAACATGTCTCTTTTCCATCGCATCTTACTCTGGAAGCGCGGCTAATGGCGAATTTCGGGTTATTCATGAGAGTCCATCAAAGGTCATCAAACGTATGAAGTGTGAGCGGGGGGGGGGCAAAAAAAAAAAAAAAAAAAAAAAAAAAAAAGCAAACATGCATCATCCACACTTTGAAAAGGGCTGGATCAAAATGCCCCAAGTGCAAGAGGAGGACGAACACACTCACCAGGACAGACAAGCTACCTTGACAGGCGGTTTGGCAAACTTCTTGCGCGCCGTTTGCTTTTTGATTTTTTCAAATTGGGCCTGGCTATTCTGGTGGTCATGGAGTGAAGCCATCACCATGTCCTTGCCGGTGCCGCTATCCATCAAGGAGCTAAGAGGCACACGATATGGCAGTCAATGCAATTAATTGTAGCTTTTCCTCCCCCCTGGAAAGCAAGCCAAATCGCTGCCCAACTATACCCGGTGAATTCTGACTACACTGAGGCCAGTAGAGATGATAAAAGCAATAACCTCGAATCAGAAGAACAGCGTATGTATACTGTTTTTTCCTGTGCAAGCACTGTGGGTGGTTATGGTATGTATGGTCGATGTTAGCCTGCGGGAAGGTCGAGCGTTGGTCACGGTCATGTGTTGGCGGTTTGCCGGCTTATTCAGCAGCGCCGAAGCCATGGGTGCTGCAAACCCCGATGTGGCTGATCCGGGGTTTGCTCTATACTCTCTGAAATGGCGGACGCTTTTGTGAACAACAACAGCTCGAGAGCACCATGCTTGAGCAGAGGAGACGCGGGCATTGAGAGTATCCATAAATTGATGTGTACGGAGTACAGCCCGTAGATTTCTTTATGAACTCCTCGACCCGACCCGAGCTTGCTATTATTGGTTATTTTGCAGAACTACATCCCATAAGAATACATCATTATGAATAGTTACATGTAATAATAAATCAAAGGTATCGGAATCTAGCTAGTCCCGGGAATGTGAACACTATCCCATACACTCTGGGAGACGTTAATTGGAAGCTTTCGTCCTTTCAAACACTGGTCGACTAGCCACATGCCCACCACGAATTCCTGGCGAGTGAGCATCCTCCTACTGTCGTGGCAGACAAGATCCCAAATTTGCCCAAGGATGATGGGCTGTAGTCGGCTCCGGGACCATATATCCTTCACCACGAGATTCAACACCATATCTCGTAGCGGGGCCCCTGAGGCCCCAGGGAGGCTGCGTTCATCAATCAACAGGCCTCTGTTCGCAGCCCATACCCCTTCATACCGTTTCCGCTCGCGGTCCGTAATTCGATCTCGCCACCGTTTTCGATCGCCCTCACGATGCTTGTTTGGATGCGTTTTGATTATACGATGACGGTGGAACTTTTTCAGCCGTTTGGCTTCATCGTCATTTTTTGGTTCCTGGCGCAACGTTTGTCTCATTCCCTTGGCGGGACTGGACGTACGAGACTCATTCTTGTGAGGGCTATGTAGGGGGTTTAGTGAAGCGCGGGAGCGAGAACCTCGATGTGGTGGTGGTGGTGGAGGAGTCTTTTTGGACGGGGATGGTGCTCTTGAGGATGCTAAAGATGAAGCTGCTAAAGCACCAGCCAATGAACTTTCAGACAACCCTGAATGGTGGGGTCGCAGGCTCGATCGGGAAGATCGGGAAGGTAACAATTGGGATCTTGGGTCTCCGGTGTTTGTAATCGCGGAACGGATACTCATAGGTCTTGCTGTGTTGGCAGAATTTGGCTCGTTTCCAATGGTGATGGCGGCCTTGGTAACTAGATTCTTCGCTGGGATCTTTTGTTGTGATGGGCTGGGTTTATTCGCAGTAGCCATTGGCAGCCTTGGTGGTAACGGAGGGCCATGGTTGCCCGGAGAAAAAGAAGGCCTCTTTTGTAGGTCTTGCGGTGATGGCTGTGATATCTCCCTGTTAACTGAGCTGGAAGGTAAAGAGGATCCCGTAGGCTCCTTCCTTGGCAGGCCATCCGGTCCCCCGGGGCCAACATTCTGAAGCCCGCGAGGATCATTAGACTGCTTGTTCTTATCTGCAACGACTGGCGATGCCCTCGTAGGGCTATTCTGTCCACCAAGGAAGTCGTTTCGGCTCATCAGATCCGGTAAAATACTTGAAGCAGATGGTCCATCATAGAGACCTTGGCTGTGGTCGTTTTGCTGAACTGGTGAACTAAGTCCCCGATTTCCCCTAGCCGGTACTGCTGGTGAAGTCCGCGCTGTAGATTTGCCTACAGCCAGCTCGGCAGCGATCTGCTGGGGACCAACCGTTCCTGGGCGAGATGTGTTTGAGTCGCGATTGGATCCAGTCTGTGATAATGTGGACTCTTGAGCTTCGCTAAACAGTTTAATCCGGTCCCCGACTATCCCCGCAGAACTTTGGGGGAATGTATCCTGCTGCATATCGTCATCCTGTGTTTCGAATCTATGGGGGCCCAGATCCATCGCGGCAAGCCTTCTCGAATTCCTCGTGCTGTTGGCAGATTGTGTTGTTGTGAGCTTGCCTGATCCATTCGCATCAAAGGCTAATGACGCTCCACGCAGAGCGGCGGATTGAACATTGGGTTTGGATGGGACTGCAGGTGGCTGTTTGGGCCGTTGAGACCCTGCTCGTGAGCCCAAGTCGCGATTGAGATCGTCGTCCGTCATGGGGGCATCTGATTGGTGGGCGTACTCGATGATAGGGCGGTTCCAAAACTTGAATATGTATCTTTCTACTGGCTCATCATAGTTGTTGATGTGCGCTTCACGGCACTTGATCGACCGGAAGGAATTCGCGATGTGAAACGCTCCACGGTATTTGATATTAGATTGCTTGAAACTGAGAAGTTTGCACGGGCTATATATAATAGGTAACTGCTTATGTGAGGCTGTATGCTGCCTGAAGGGACTCGACAAGCGTATCATACCATACCGTCGAAGCAGTCAAGCTATCTTGGGAGGTCGCATTGAGCATTGTTGTTCAGGGGTAGGATGGGACGTTGGTTAACTCAGCTAGCCTGGCCTCTCAGCCCTATCCCATACCAGATCGGGTAATCCATGAAGTTTCACGGTTGGATTATTTTTGGATCACCCGTAACATCCGTATTAAATAATAATTTTACCACCATTGTTCCGCAATGATAACCTGCGATTTTTTTCTCTCCAATATAATTTACTTCCTCTGCTCTATTTACAAGTAACAAGAATGAAGGATCGACAGAGTGAGTGCTTTCGAAATAAAAGCACTGAGGAAAGAGGAAAAAAAAAAAAAAAAAAAAAAAAAAAAAAAAAAAAAAAAAAAAAAAAAACCGAAACTTAAAGAAGACAAAGGATAACAAGTGCTCAGTTATAATGATTTGATGCAATAGAATAGGTGCCGTTATTTTATATATTTGAAGTTTTTCCTGAGACAATTAATTGTGAATTCATGTGGATGACATCAGATCACGTGCGTTGGCGCGACCTTCGCGATGTGCTGCCTGGAGACCATGTACAGAGTATATATAGAGGGCGCCGTCGTCCACGGTCATTGCTCCATGGCAATGCTTGCCAGAAACTCTGTAACCCAACCATCAACATATCCTTTATATTTATTCTCTTGTTTTCGGGATGGATTCGGATGGAGAACAAGAACCAGACGGTCTACGACAGGCAGACCCGAACGGCGAAGCTGACCTGGACGAGAGGTAAGCCTCATTAAATACACATAAAAATAGGCACCCCTTGAAAATGACTGATAACACCTTCCTAGATATCCCAATCGCCCTCGTAACCACTCACCCACCCTACCATTTCATGACTTATTCCTAACCCTATTTAACCCTCTCAATGAAAACAAAAAGCGTCCAACCGGCCCGGCGCTTGCGCGAAGAAAGGTCGGCCCTCATGGACATGGTGCTGCCGTCCATCTAAGCCCACAAGAGCGGCGAAGGGACATAATTCAGAGGTTCATTTCGCGATGGAAGAAAGAAGTGGGTGACGATATATTTCCTGCATTTCGCTTGATCATTCCAGAGAAAGACAGAGATCGAGCTATGTATGGATTGAAGGAGAAAGCCATCGGCAAGTTGCTGGTGAAAGTCATGAAAATCGACAAGAACTCCGAGGATGGGTTTAGCTTATTGAACTGGAAAGTTCCCGGGCAGATTTTTGCGAGCAGAATGGCTGGTGACTTTGCCGGACGCTGTTTCGAAGTCATATCAAAGAGGCCGTTGAGGACTGAGGTGGGCGACATGACCATCGAAGAAGTTAATGAGCAACTAGATAAATTGTCCGCAGCTTCAAAGGAAGATGAGCAGGTGCCTATTCTTGCATATTTTTACAGAATGATGAACCCTGAGGAGTTGATGTGGCTTATCCGGATTATTCTACGACAAATGAAAGTCGGTGCCACAGAACGGACACTTTTCAATATCTGGCACCCGGATGCAGAGGCATTGTTTAGTATTTCTAGCAGTCTTCGCCGAGTCTGCTGGGAGCTTTATAACCCAGATATTCGCTTGGAAGGGGATGAAGCCAAGGTCACTCTGATGCAGTGTTTTCAGCCTCAGCTCGCTCAGTTTCAAATGCAATCGTTTGAACGTATGATCCAAAAGATGAGGCTGGCCGAAGACGATCCAACTTTTTGGATTGAGGAGAAGCTTGACGGAGAACGTATGCAGCTCCATATGGAGTCCGACGATTCGATACCTGGAGGGAAGAGGTTTGTATTCTGGTCGCGAAAGGCCAAGGAATATACGTATCTGTACGGTAATGGATTCTTTGACGAGAACGGGGCGCTCACGAGACATCTCCAGAAGGCCTTTGCGGATGGTGTTCAAAGCATCATCCTGGATGGAGAGATGATTACCTGGGACCCTGAGCATGATGCGATTGTTCCTTTCGGGACTCTCAAGAGTGCCGCACTAGCCGAGCAAAGGAATCCATTCTCGACAGGGCAGAGGCCATTATTTCGTATATTTGATATCCTTTTCCTAAACGGCCAACCACTCACGAGATACACGTTGAAGGACCGCAGAAGAGCACTTGAAGCTAGCGTTATTCCTGTGCATCGCCGTTTCGAAATTCACACTTACGAAATTGGCCACAGTGCCGCTGATATCGAACATTTACTCCGGAAAGTCGTCGCCGAAGCATCTGAAGGCCTTGTTCTGAAGAACCCCAACTCTCCATACCGTCTAAATGAACGTCACGATGACTGGATGAAGGTTAAACCCGAATATATGACTGAGTTTGGTGAATCTCTCGACTGCATCGTAATTGGCGGATATTATGGCTCTGGTCGTCGAGGCGGCGCTCTATCAAGTTTCCTATGTGGACTAAGAGTAGATGAATCACATGCCAAAAAGGGGGATCATCCTACAAAATGCTATTCATTTTGTAAAGTTGGAGGAGGTTTTACTGCTGCTGATTATGCAAATATTCGCCATCATACCGATGGGAAGTGGATTGATTGGGATCCAAAACGACCCCCCACTGAATACATTGAACTTGCTGGAGGTGATCTACAATACGAACGACCTGACGTATGGATAAAGCCTGAAGATTCTGTTGTTCTCTGCGTAAAGGCCTCATCAGTTACCCCAACTGACCAGTTCCGCCTCGGCCTGACGGTGCGGTTCCCGCGCTTTAAAAGGCTACGCATGGATAAGGACTGGCATAGTGCCTTGTCGATCCAGGAGTTTATGGACCTCAAGTCAAATATCGAAAGGGAAGTGAAAGAAAAGGAATTCAAGGTTGACGATTCTCGCAAGCTACGGCATAGGAGAACTACGAAGAAGCCCTTGACAGTTGCCGGTTACGACGGAGGCAAGAAGACTAAATATGCGGGTCCATCGGGGAAATTGTTTAATGGACTCAATTTTTGTAGGTGGCCCCAGTTCCTTGCGTTTGGATGATGTGCTCACAAGCTCATTAGTTGTCATGACCGAATCGGTTCACCAGCCTAAGAAAACCAAGGCGCAGCTTGAACAACTCGTGAAAGCAAATGGCGGCAAGATATATCAGACAAATACAGCCGCAGAAAATACAATTTGCATCGCTGATCGCAGTAAGTAGAAGATGATAATGTAATCTGAACATGGCATGCGGGAAGGCTTATGTTAACGTATCCCAGGGACTGTTAAGGTAGCTTCACTTCAAAAGAACGCGAAGGAGAACGTCATCCGGCCATCATGGCTCTTCGACTGCTTATCACAAAACGAAAGGGATCATGGCCTTCCGGACCTGCTTATTCCGTTGGAACCAAAGTTAGTTCATATCCGCTCTCCTTCCTTCGTTTCCTGCCGTACATATTACCTGACCAGAAATTTATCAACTCTGGAAGACACATGTTCTTCACAACGGTAGATCAAGAGGAAGAAATTGCCGGAAACGTCGATAAATACTCCGATAGCTATGCTCGAGATATCGATGCCTCGGAACTCAAAAAGGTCATTCCATTCCTTATTCATGTCTTCCCGTTTGTAAAAGATAAACGTCTCCCTTCACAAGGAGAAACAATAATATGTAACTAACACCCCCCACAGCTCCTCGACGCTATGGCCCCAGCGCCAGGTCTACCCCCTTCCAATATATCCCAACTAGAATCCCAACTCGAATCCCACAGCCTGAATGAACAAGAATCACCAACCGCAACAGTATCGAACAACCCATTATCCCCCGGCTGGCTTTTCAAAGGACTAGTCATATACTTTGCCACGCCTCCATCCAAGTCCAACGACGAAAAAGGCAAAAAACCACATATCCTAGCACAGCGCCTCCAGCTCGCTTCCAACCTTGTGGAGTTCGCCGGCGGCGAAGCCATCACGGACGACAGTGACATGAAGGATCCACGTATCACGCATATTGTAGTCGACAGCAAAAGTTCCGGCGATAAGGCTGGCATGCTAGTGACAAACGTTGCTGAAATAAGGAGGGCGATTTCATCCCTGGCTGGGGTTGGGAAGCAAATTCCGCATATTGTTGGGGTTGAGTGGGTGGAGGAGAGTTGGAGGGAGAGGACGTTGGTTGATGAGGAACGTATGTAGAGATGTCACTTAAACCCCCCCTTTTCTTTTGTGTAGAGATTTTGGAAAAGTGGGATACTAATATATTGGTGGCAGTTTATTCAGGATACGTACCAAGGTGAAAATGCAGTATATCCATTAGAGGTGCTGAACGCATGGACCTTTGGGATCAAGAATAGAGTGCCCCTTTACGAAGATTTCTATGCTCGCTTCATGGCCTACCTCTACTGGGAAGAGAAAGAGAATGAAACGTTTCATTCGAGCTTTACAAAAAACCTGGATACGCATACATATCTCGATGGCTAGCTGATGGCCTGAATTATGATCTTATGATGTGATGAAAATCTTTTGAATACAGTTATATTTTGAATTCTCTATGGTCTTTAGCAGCTGGAGCAGTGGTTAGATGACTCTTGGGAATGAAAAATTGTACCATTTTACTCATAGCATGGCAGTAAACAGGGTTCATATTCAAGTTGAAAATTGCTCGTTTTGGGGACAGCTGAGCCGATGTAGGAGGTGTAGAAGGCGTATGGCAATAGCGGAATGAAGGAGTGAACGGGTTCCAAGTTTTAAGCATCTAAACGTACCCGGCGGTTTGGCTTGGGTGGGAACCCTGTATATCTATGAGCTTTTGATTCCTTTTCCTCATTTGCCTTGTCCCTTGTTACAGCTCTGTATGGCGATGGTCGTGGTGGTGGTAGTTATCAAGGTGCTTTAGAATCCTCCTAGTGGCGGTCCTCTGCCTCTTTCTGTATTCTTTACGGGTTTCATTCATTTCTACTGCCTATAGGAAGAAGATACTAGGTATCTTCAACTCCGTAGCTCCCGGAAGTTGACAAGTGGTGTGCTGTCATGGGACTCTCTTGCTCCCTTTATAACATGTGGAAGCTGGATTGGATTGTGACGGCGGTCTCCTGTACTTCAGCTGGCTTGGAACCAGGACTGTGGCCATGAGTTCAGTCGGACTCGGATTAACTGCATGCGTAGTCAGTCCATCGTGGGGCAGGGTGCCCGTGATAAGGAGACAAAGTTGGATAGCAGTTATGCAATGGCTATTCAGACGTACATGTACATGAATGAATGAAATGTTTTTACTTCACCTCTACCCAACTAATTATTATTATTTCAATTTTTCTTTTTTCTTTTTTCTTTCCCAGACACCTTATGGCCATCCCTGTTTTCAACCGTCCAAGGAAACACCTCAGTAAAATAAGGGACTCACAAAGATAAGTCAGATTGTAAGCTTGTCTATGTAAATAGAGTTGTTCCGCGCGGTGCCTTTAACCTCCACGTTTCATGAAAAAATCGCTAAAATACTAAAATAGCATGTCCTATCTATCACCACAGAAAAAAACCCCAAAACCAAACCCTCTTGAACACCCACTATAACCCAAAGAAATGTATATAAAAAAATCCAGCCTTGTAGTATTCGCCAACCCGCTCGACATATGAAAACGTCAAGGTAAAAGTGAAAAATGAGTTAAAGGAAAACAAGGGAAAGGAAAATGCGCATGGGCTGCGCGGCGTATGGCCAGTCAAGCGAACGAGGATACAAAAGTAAGGGAAGAGGAGAAGAGAAAATCAACATAATTCATCTGCAGATACTGCAATCCACCTTCGTGGAATCTTGCAGCCAGCGCATCCACCACCACCACCACCACCTGCACTCATATAAACAGTCACAGCAGATGATGATGGCGATGACGACACCACCGTCTTCCTCGGCGGAAGCCAGACTTTGGCTCGACCGGGGATATCACTTCGAAGTTTACCACGACGCCGCATGTTCATTTCTAAGACGACCATGCGGAGGAAATCGCCGTTCTCTCTGGGCTCGCGCTGGCGGTGAGCCGGGGATTGTGGAGGGTCTTCTTCGCCTTCCTCGTCTTGGTAGTCAGAGTCGTTGTATTCATCGCTATTCTCAGCGTGCGAGCCATCTGCGCCTGTCGGATTAAGAAACGGGCGATTTCTGCGCACTTTATTGACCACTGGAGAGCTGTATGTCTGCATTTGAATGGAGGCTGTGCATCTGAGCGGTTGGACGGGAGTTCCTCGCGGGGATTCGCTGTAGATGTGAATATCAGCTGCGGAGATGGTCAAGGGGTTTAAATAGCGACGGAGTGCCGGTGAAGGGGGGTTCTTCATTGGAACAGGATGTTTATCGTCGGTTAGCTCGGGAGAAAAGGAGAAGAAGGATCGCGTCAGAAAATCTTCGGAACGGACTGAGGGGGCTGTGAAATTCGAGACGCTTTGGGCGGCGGATCTGAGTGCTCGAAGTGAGGCTGTGAGGTTTGACTTGACTGTTGCTCCAAGTTTTGGAAGAGAGCGGAAGGAGTTTGAGCCATATGCTGGTAGCTTTGTGGGAGTCTCATCGATGTGTATGTGATTATCTGGTATAGACGAAGAAAGGAGTGGGTGGTCCTGAGGGCAGGCTTCACAGGGCGAGAACAGACGCTGTTTCCGAACAAACGGCAATCGTTGAGTGGGAAAATATGGAGTTGCCGGGTCACTGAATGGGGTGGGAACATCATCATCATTATCTAAAGAAGGAACAGAGTCCAGCGATAAGGATTCTACTGAATCCGGAGTCTCTGATCCGGCCGGGAGGTTGCTCTCGTCATCCGCCAATTCGTTTGGAGGGCTCAAAAGAACGTGGAGAGAGGATTTTCTTGATGCTCGAACCATTCTGCCAGACTCGTTTCCTGCTATACCCTCCGCAAACAAGCCACCCAGATATTCTGCATTGTTATAGTCCAACAAACGACGCTGTTTCCGACCAGCCCAAGTCCGCGGCACCGGAATTGCCGTCGCTTCTAACAAGTTCGAAACATGAAGAGGAACAGAAACTTCCGGTCTTGTCGATGAACTGGAGCGCATTTCCGCGTTTCCTTTTGGAGGATTTCTTCTTGGTGTGGTTTGGAGAGGGCGGATAGATGGTCTTTGGGTTTTTCGCTGCGGAGCGATGAAAACGGGATTTGTCGGCGGGTCGAAAATTCCAGCCGAAACTACGGGAGCGGCCTTCTCATCCTGTAACTGGACGTTCGTATTTCTCATCGTAGAGTTGAATCGAAAAGTCTGGGGAGGCATCGCCGCGGTTCATCACCTTCGCAAGGGCTAGAGAGTAATGGGAGATAGTGAGTGGTCTTGGTGGATAGAGGTTGGAGGTAAACCGTCAACGCAAACACAGAGATGCAGGTAGTCAATCCTAAAGCACAGTTCCCTATAACCTTGGCAGACTGACTGCCCACTCTACTTGTTGTGCTTGTGTCAACGATTGCTAGATCAACTCTCTAAGCCTTGTAAACGGATGTCAACGACAATGAAGCCAATATGATCTGCCAAGTGCATAAACATAGCAGGCTTGTGAACAAGAGCGAATCCTAAGAAGGAAGAAAAGAGAAAAGAAAAGAGAGGACAGGAGTCGAGAGAAGGGATGGGGAGCGAAGAGGGTTGGTGATGAGATTGAAGAGATCAGGTTTGCCGTGGGTATTGGGAAGTCGGGATGTTCCTGTACATGTATTATTATACTCCGTACCTCACCGCACAAAAACGGTGGCGCGGTACTTCCGCTCTCCAGAGGACGGAAACGGCTGACGGCAACCTGCGCTGGTTGGTTGGGCGAGACTTGGCGCTGCGACGTCATCGCCGCCAATCGTTGAGCGCGAAGAGTTTCCGTTTGCTGCCCAACAACTTCACCATGTCAACAACCAGCACAGCACAGCAACATCGCCAGGATGGGATCGGGGGCCACTTGGGGACGCATGCGTCTGCATCGTTGGAATTATTATTATTGGCACGGGAACCGTGTCACGGGCTAGCTAACACAGGTTCCACTGGCTGGATCGTGGAGACTGGAGACAGCTGTACAACCCATTCCTCATACTACTGCGTAAGCTGACGCCGCTGGTCCAACCACGCTGCGTAAACCAATTACTCTGCATAGAGGTGTTTTGAACGTCCGGATTTCCCTCTTGAACGTGTTTTGCTGTCCGCAAATCATCCCTCTTTGCATGTCACGCGATTCGTCCCGTGGGGGAAATCAAACCACCGCTAACGGGCCGTGCAGTCGCTCTCACTAACGCTGAGAAATGTCCGCGTACCTGCAGGCACCCTATTTTCGAGAACCAGGAAAGCAGCATTTGCTTGATCGGGGGTCAATAAGTGCGACGTACCAAGCTAGCCTTCAGAGAGTACGGAGTACAGCGTACGGATTGAAGACCCCATCGACCTTGTTCTCAACAAGCATTTTTGACAGGATAGGTCAAAAAGTACGGAGATACATGTTGTGCGAATGGCTTAAACTACGCTGCACATGCCTGCCTGTCCACTCCAATATTATTAATGAAGACATGAGCCTCTTGCTTGGTTCAAATGCTTTGGCTAGGATTGAGGAGCACTGAGGGCATTCCATGGAAATCTTAGAGTCGTTTAACGAATATTCATTGTGCTCTACAACACTTTAGGTAACGCTTGAAGGAATCTAGGCGGGCTAGAGCGTTTGTTGGGGAGTTAAGTTCGGGGTAGGGTAGGATCTTGAACATCAAAATCTATCTAGGATATCGAGAGGACCATCTCAGAACAACCGACACTTTGCTCATGGGAATGACAAGTAATTAGTTATGTAACGCTACCACCTCATAAAAGAGGAGGTTCTACAACACCCGTCTGCGATGAGAGGATCCCATACGCTTCGATCCTTCGATATCGGTCGAAATCAAACGACTACAATTGTACAGCCCAGCACATTAGCACACTATTTCCTCCCATCGGATAAGTATTATTAGGAAGGGGGGTAACCGAGGAAGACCCAAAATCATAAGAAAAAAAGAAAAAAAGAAAATCACTCACCGCCTTCTTCCCATACCGACACATCGCGAGATCAATTTCCGCCACAACAACCTCGTCCCCCGTCCCCTTCGCTTCCGCAATCGTCTGTCCCATCGGATCGACAATCGCCGAACCCCCAATAAGCCCATACTTCCCATCGTCCAGTCCTGCACGTGCCGCCGAAATAGAATAGCAGCTATTGGCATAACTATTATACTCCATGACGAGTTTATGATAGAAATAAGCCTTCCGCTCCGCCGCTTCGCGATCCATTTCTGGGTCACCGTATAGGTCTGGTGCGAAACTGGGCGTGTTGTACCCGCACAGCACAAGTTCTACTCCTTGCAGCCCGTACGCGCGCCAGGACTCGGGCCAGCGGCGATCATTGCATATGATCATTCCGACAATTGGGTCACCTTTGCCGGCGATGTCTGTTTTTGTCATCGTCGTTGCGGTCGTGTCACTCTTTTTGAGTGCATCCGGGACAAGATCTGGGACTCGGAACGCCATGAAGCCCAGATTCCCCGGTCTGAAGTATCTTTTTTCCAACTGGTTGATTGCGTTGGGGTTCTCGTACGGTTCACTCGTGCCGGGAAGGTGGATTTTGCGGTACTTGCTGAGGACTTTCCCTTGCTTCCCTGAATAGTAGACGCATGTGTTATAGTTTTCTCCGGCACTAGTAAGTTCCCCATATCCAATGCAAACATCTATGCCCAGTGAGGTGCTGCGTCAAAGAACTCCTTGACATTCTCGCTCTGGGTTATGTCATCACCCTTCTCGAAGAATCTCTCCACCTCCGCCTGGCTCATTAGGTGGCGCGGGAAAAAGGTCGTGAAGGCAGTTTCTGGGTAGACGAGGAGTTGTGCGCCGGATGATGCGGCAGTTTTCATGAGGGCGATGAGTCGTTGGAGTGTTTCTTTGCGGTCAGAGTCGATGTGGACTGAACCAACTTGGGCCGCTGCGACTTTTATTTTTCGGGACATTGTCGATGTAGGATTGTACACGAACTGCTGATACAACTGCTTCGCACGTACAAACTTAGGTTACAAAATTCCGTGTTCAAAATAAAGAGAGAATGGATTGGTAAACCATCGTATGTTAGGCGGGACTCCATTGCTATACTCATTTATATAGCCTTCAGCAAATTCCCATTCCCCGACACGATTGCATGTGTATCAGAGCACTAGCGCTCGCTGGAGCACAAACCAACACAACTGTATCCATTCTGCAACTGCCCGAGCGCACCCCAAGACGTAAAATCTTGCTCCATAACTGGGCAAAATACAGTGTTTACTTGCAATTCCTGCGAGGAGAGCGGGGGCTATGCGGGGAAAGCCGGTTGGGGGTGGTATATGATATTAGCAATTAGTTGTGGATGAGGCCATAGAAGTAAGGACCCCCGCCGAGAACCGATGTTCTTAACTAGTTCGGTTTCTCAGCGCTCCCACTCTTTTGCCAAGCTCACAGGCACAAAGTTTGCTATTGACAGAACTTGCAGATGTAAAGCTTTGCTCCATAATTGAACAATAGAGTGTTTACTAGCAATTACTGTGAGGGGCGGGACGGATGCATGGAGAGCTGATCGGAGGGGTGTATAACATCAGCATCTGGTTGCAGGATGCGGGCGGTAGGAGCAAGAATCCCACTGAGAACTGATATTCTATGATCAAATTGCTATCATCTGGAGTGGAGGGAGACATGCGGGGGACTCCGACACAAGTAGGTACATACCGTATGCTGTGGACCTGTTATCTAAGTTAATCGGGACGTTGGACAGGTGTCGGCTATGTAGTAATTATGATTCTCCGAAGCTCGGGCTGCCGAGAAGAGACATGGAACTCCAGTGCAATTTCTACGTATGAAACAGCAGATAGCACGTGGCATTCGCAGAAGAATTTGTGATCTGTCTCCTTACCTTGAGATAAATGGTTCAGACAACGAGGCCTCCTTCTTTCCACGCTGCCGTAGATTCTCTGTTGGATTGTCCCTGGGGGGATATTTAAGATAGGATCCGCGGGGTAGGCGGGATAGGCAGCGCTACGAGCCTGGTGCAGATCTTGTATGATGTAGTAGAGTATTTAGTGGGCGGACGACCATGTCAATTATCACCACCCTTCTCACCAATAATTCTTATTTCTGTTTGATGTCTCGTCCTAGAGATCATAAAGGACCCAGTGTCACTCTGCTGCTGGTTAAAGGGACTCTTCTGCAAGTTTCAGGCCGGCTCATCACCATAAAAGCTACTCCACTCCGTGGGTTTCCTCTGTAAAGAAGCCACAAAATAGCAAACTGCACTATCTGATGGGAGCCATATTTCATGGCTCTTCCATCCTAAATATTCAGCTTGTAGGAGAGCGAATTTGTGCTTGTCCCCATCCATGGTCATCGACCTTCATTTTTTGTATTTCGCCATTCACGATGCTTCTCTAGTATGGCATTGACGGGTATCCAGTATTCCAATTTTAAAACTATGTCCCCGGAGGAGGGGGGTTGTTGAATGCGGAGCAAGGCATTTTCTGATTCACAAACAGATCTCTCACAATGGATGGCCAGGAGTGAATTTAGACGTACTGGCTGTCATGCCACCAACCCAGATCTCTTGCGGTCCTTTCTTTCGCCTTCACAGCGGCGTTCACCTTGGTTTGCTCAACCTCCAAAGTAAATCTCTCCCACGTCAACGCACCGTCCGGCCCAGCATTTCAAGACAGATTTACCCAGAGCAAGTTGTAGTGTGTCAGGAAAAGCCATTATCACAAACAAGCCTTCCTTTTCATGATCATATTTGTCAAAAACTGCCCTCACTCAAACCAAGATAGACCTCCAAAGCCCCAATATTTGAAAGTGTTCTCAAAAGGTCCTCTTACTTTCACTTCATCTGCTTCATTCAGTCTGATAACCAGTACTCCTGCAGAATGGAATTGATAGGATAGGTATGATATCATCTGGTTCTCTCTGGGAGATCAGCCTTGGAATTTGTGTGTTTGAACGGTATTTTCTTCCAAGCGCTGAGAACCATGACTGTGAGTTTATATTAGACTCAAGGCCCGCATAAAGTTCCCTTGTTTGCAGAGGTCTCCTGAATACCATTATCCTGCACCGGAAGCATTGGCAGTTTAGATCCCGGAAATGCGGAGCCCATGCAAGCGAAAACCGGGGCCTGGGGAATCAGGCTGGGATAGCTCCAGCCTAGCATGCAGCACCAATGTTGGTCGCCGCCAGGAATGCCGATCATGTAGGAGCTTGACGACATATATACCCCTGGGATTAAGCTGTGTGTACTGGAAATTCTAGGTTCATAGTCCACACACAAAATGATATTGTGTTGGATAAGCAGAACGAGGCAACTTGCACAGACGGCAAGGCTCCAGCGGCATGGAACTCGGGTAGTCAACTTCACGAAGCAATATTTAACGGAATTACGAGCTTGAATGCTCAGAGCCAGAGTTTGATGGAGGCTTCCTAGGCTGCCGGCTTTCTCTCGGACGCTGGAAAGGTTTCCAGGGTTGAACTGGCGGACACTGCGAAGTAGCAATAGTTAATAAGTTAATAACAATAATCGCACACTTAACTCTGTACGCCGCATGGCCGCATGTCACCTGACTGCTGCTGCTCGGTCAGGCAAAACCACTCGCGACAATAGTCTTATTATTATTGCGGACTACAACATCACCCGCTTCCGCCGCAGCAGACTCGCATCACCGCTGCATACCCCCAGTCATTGTGGGATCTTTCCGCCCTTCTCAAACAGCCTGTTTCCATGAGTGCAGTTCACGTGGGAATTTGGGTCCGCAGCGCGATTAACTTACCAACCATCAATTCGAGCAAATCTGGGGTCTATCTTCCGCCCCCCGCTCTCTCTAGATTGCGAGATCACGGAATCCCTCGCTGATCATTTTTCATAACCTCTTGCCTTTTCTTTTGCCCTCAAAACTACCAATACTACTACCAGTTCTCAATTCCGCAGCAGGGGATCTTAGAAGTTCCGCCACCTACCGAGCAGCTCAGGGTCTCCCGCGCTTAAATCAACAAATATTTCCCACCATATGCGAGCTCTATCCAAGCGGCCCTTTGCTCCGTAGTCCATCTTGCGCAACCGAAGGTCGGTGTTTGCGCCCAGTAACTAATTAGGGAGGTGAGGACGTGTGTGACGGTGTATTAGGCCTCAAGGTACAGACAGCATTTCATTTCCTGTCATCATTGAGCATGTTTAAATTTGACACTGGAGCGAATTTGTTCTAACCATGACTATAAAATCACGATTAGATTGCCGTTGTTCCTTATATTCACGTTTTGCATCCCGACCATCCTTTCCCCCCTTACAACCCCACCCTGGTCACAATCATCCGGCACCGCGCGCAAATTACACCCGCTGCATGATTGTGCGCTAGACGATCTTGTTACAGGGTTTCTTTAATTATGTCACTAAACCGTTGACTTTATTCTACGTGCACTTCTGTCCCCGTGGTGGAAGCTTCAAATGGCCGGCGAGCAGCCCGCCCGCCCGGATTCCGCTACTCAAACCGGCAAGTCAAAATCCAGGTTAAAGTCTCGAGACGGCACAGCGGCGGTGAAACGACGATGTGTCAGTACTGCATGCATTGCCTGTAGGAAAAGGAAATCTAAGGTATTACCCGGCTTGCGTTGATCGTATAACAGCAGTGAAATCTTCTGGCTGATGGGGTACTTACACAGTGCGATGGAAATACACCTACTTGTGCTGCGTGCGCATCCGTCTATCATACACCATGTTTGTCTCCCCTCACGAAATTCCAAGATCGAATACTAATTCCTACAATCAGGTATATACGACCCCAACTCAGATCACCGTCGAAAGGGCGTCTATAAGCAAGACATCGACAACTTGAAAAATCGCAATACCACTCTGCAGACGCTAGTTCAGGCAATCCTCAATTATGATGAAGCCGACGTGCCGGAGCTCGTCCGGCAAATACGGTCATGCGAAGATCTAGAGCAAGTAGCGGAGTCTATTATAGCGCGAGAAAAAACGTCGGGCAAAGACGTCACTCGGGAGGTGTTTACAGAAGACGATAATGAACAGTCCACCGAAGTCCCCCAATTCGAGTCTGAACTTGCGGGGAAGATGAGCGAACTGATAATGGATGGTACTGTGAGGTTTGTTGGAGGCACTTCGAATTTAATATTCTTGCCCGCTGAGTTCTACCTTGAGGAGCCGGATGCCTCGTTCGCTCTTGTGGAGCAGAATCAAGACACGGGCGATGCTATCACTGGTTGGACCCGAGTAACGAAAAGTAAAGAACTTATCCGCCACTTGTTGACCATGTATTTTACATGGCATTATGCATATTTTACGACAATGTCGAAGAAGCTATTCTATCGCGATTTTATTAAAGGACGGTCGACCCAATACTGTTCATCGCTTCTTGTAAATGCTATGCTAGCGCTCGGTTGCCACTTCAGCTCATGGCCTGCTTCAAGGAGTGACCCGAACGACTCCGCAACTGCTGGCGATCACTTCTTCAAAGAGGCTAAAAGGTTGATATTGGAGAATGATGAACATGAAAGGGCAAAACTATGCACCGTGCAGGCTCTTGCCTTGATGTCAGTGCGGGAAGCTGGCTGCGGGCGAGAGGGCTCCGGTTGGGTATATAGCGGAATGAGCTTCCGAATGGCTTACGATCTAGGTTTGAACGTCGACGGTACTGGGATTGCTTCTTCCCACAGTCTGACTGAGGAGGATATCGACGCACGAAGGATGACGTTCTGGGGGTGTTTCCTTTTTGACAAGTGAGTTGTCTTTTGTTATATCTTCCTAGCTTGTCGTTGCCGTTGGCTAATAATCTGTATTTGTAGATGCTGGTCTAACTACCTAGGACGTCAACCCCAGTTATTAGGTTCCAGTATCTCCGTTCCCAAATTTGATGTCTTCCCCGACGAGGATGCGGAAACATGGTCCCCGTACACGGATTCGGGAGTTACGCGTGAACATATACAGCCTTCTCGAACAAGGGCCATTTCGCTTCAAATATTACGTCTGAGTGAGATCAGTAGCGATTTACTATCGTACTTCTACCATCCGAAGCCGCTCGAAAGACATATTGGAAAGCAAGAGGAATTAAAGCGGCTAAGTCAGCTTCACACGAGGCTAGAAGCCTGGCGAAAAGGCCTTCCCAAAGAAATGGAGCCGAAGGAAGGCCAACTACCCCAAGTCTTGCTTATGCAGTGAGTCCTTCGGAAATGTCCAAATTCCAACTAAGTAATAAAAGTCTCCGACTAACCAAAAACTCCAGCATGTTCTTCCAACTCCTCTTTATACACCTCTACCGCCCATTCCTCAAATACACAAAATCCACTTCCCCACTTCCCGCCCATGTCTCACCAAGAAAACTGTGTACACAGTCCGCATCTACGATATCCAAATTACTTCGACTATACAAACGCACCTATGGATTCCGCCAAATCTGCAACCTTGCCGTGTATATTGCACATTCTGCTTGCACAATTCATCTGCTCAATCTACCAGACAAGACTGCGAAACGAGACCTCATTCATGGTCTCAAAAATCTGGAGGAGATTTCTGAAAGCTGGCTTTGCGCACGTCGGACTTTACGGATCCTCGATATCTCAGCGCAAAAGTGGAATGTTGACTTGCCAAGTGAGGCCTTGGCAATTTTTGAGCGTTCACACGCCAAGTTTGGACCTTGGGGTTCCTGGGACCAGGTACATTCTCCCTCGAATTCGGACGCATCTGACAAGGACAGAGGCCACAGACCAAGATCAGCAAATTCTCATGTAACGCCCGAACCTATTTCACGTCCTTCGAAACCCAGTATGCGCGCACGCGTGAAAGAGGCCACTACTCATGTACTCAATCCGTCATTCTCGCAATATCAGTCGTTCCCTACCGCAACCCCTCAACTTTCGCAAAAACAGCCCATTCTCCCAACAAATTTACCATCATCTCTACTACCCGATCATGCCTTCTCTATGCCAGTATCAAAAAGATCTTACCGCGCTAGTTTCGATACGGTTCCAAAACACTATGCCTGGACAAGGTCCCAGCAGGCCCATGTGGACATGTCCACTAGTAGCAACAGCCTGTCTAATATGAATGCGCCGCAGCTGGCAACTATAGGAGGTATGGAAAATTTAGTTGAATCAAGCCAAGATTGGTGGCTAAAGGATCAAAATGCGTTAGCATTGGGACTAGACAACTGGGGCGAGAGCTGGAATAGTCCTGCTGGACCGGTCTGTACTAGTATGGATTTTGAACACAGCATACCAGCGGTTGCTCTCGGGGGTAATAGCGAACAAATGATTGGCAGTAGCAGCCACAGTCTGGGCCCCAGCCAGCTGTCAGATGCCACCGATAGCATGGGAATCAATATGCCTTTAACCCTACCGGGATTCGACGCTGAATATACTGATGAAAACGGGCTGTCCCAGACGAGAACGGGTGTGGATCAGGACACCACGCGGCCGGACCAAACATCGACGGCGGATACGGGATCCGGGGCTCTCGGTCAAATGTATTACTAGTCATCACCGACCCATGATGCGATTAAGACCCAAGTAGATGGAAGCGATTCCGAAGGAGACTCGACGGCAACTTATGTCCATACTCATCGCTGGCCCTGATGAAACGCTTCAATGTCTTATCATCTAAAAATACGACGTCACGTTCATTTTCTATTCTCTCTTTTCATCGTGAGCTATAGCGTACCCACTTTTGCCTAGAGGTAGAGATTCTCCGCACCTAAATTTCAGCCACCTTTTATCGACCCAAACCTGCATTGTGTATTTGTCCTATACACATGTATCTGCCCTCACATTCCCCAAATAATGGAACCGGAAAAGAAAACAGAATCCTTTTCCTGGAATTCCCCCTCATCTCTCTACGGATGAACGATTTTCAGTGGCGCTTCATCAGCTACGTTTCCTACTGCCAACCCCAACCAAGACTTATCAGAAAACAAGGGAGTGGGATTTCATTTTGCCTTGAACGCGCCAATAACCCGCCAACGAAGAGAGTTTCAAATCTTCTCCCCATCCGTCCTTCCCTGCTGGAAGCTTGAAACTGGCGACTGGTTGGCGGAGAGGGCGGAAAGGACGTCAGAGATATGGCGTAACCTCTTCTGGCGCTCTACTTACGTTTGTCATACATATATCTACATAATCTTTTTCCTATTTTTCCGTCGCTGGATCTCGAGATACATACAGGGATACAGGGAAAGGTTCCATGACCACGGTCATGATAGAGTCGGTATTTACGTTTTTTTGCGATATGCTGGTATTTGGCTATTCTTTTCCTTCCTTTTTCATTCTTTTCCTTCCTTTTTCATTCTTTTCCATTATTTTCCGCTTTTATTCTTTATTATCTTGTCTATTTGTCGTCTCCCACCTCAGTCAACTGCTTTTGTGTATCCTCTGGATTTCGTCAGCATCCATTGGGGGAGCCTGGTTGCGGACAACAGGGTGGTGATTTCTCATCCTTCCCTTTTTTTTTCCCGTTTTATTCTTTCATTACCCCTTCAACTTGAATAGCTGGCATAAATGTATATAGATATAAGTGTATACACACAGAGGTAAATAGACAGGTAAGTTTTTAGGTTATATTCTATTTAGTTGGGCTTTTGCATTCATGCTGCTAGAGCAGATCTCAATGGAGGTGCTCTGGATCAAGGGGGCTGGAGGATGATTAATTAGATGCGGAGGGTGAACTGATGATGGCGGTTTGGACAGTCACACAACACGGTCTTAGAACTTAACGTGACAAGAATACAGGCACAGGCACATTTCATTCTGCCTGAGACACCAAACATGTTTCGCAGTTTAACATGTAGTTGTTTCGAATAAATTGGGGAAAAAAAAAAAAGAAAAAAAAGAAATTAAATGAACATAAGAAAAAGACCTAGATCCCGTTTCGTTACGATCTATATATTCGCTCTCTTTCTTCTACTAGCGTACAACCCCCGTTGTTATGCGGACTTCTTTTCCATAAGCAAATTGTATATACCAAATATTTCATCCCGGTATGCGCCAACGAGGATAACAGGCTAGGCCTTATTAGAATTTAGCAGATGGTACACGGAGAAGGGAGTGTGTGGGTGGTTGAGGGAAATTGAGTGACGGCCGGGTTGGATATAATGAGATTTGTATTTGATGGTATAACGGTATATGGTATCACTATTTATTAGGTGTCCGTTAGAGAGCTGTTCCTTCAAGGATAAAAAGGTGGGAGAACGAGATAGGCCAGTGGGATGTAGGGACCAGGATCACAATTAACAAGGTTGCAATAACCGAAAAGAAAAACATACCAGAAAGTAATCAGCAACCGGTTTCTTCGCCGGCATCCCTCTTGTATCCTGCGCCGCCGCATCGAACACCCTATACCTCCTTCCAGGACCTAGTATCCCCCCCTGCTGACCTTGCTGCCTCATATCAGCAACAGCGCCAGCACTCCGTCCATAGTCGCCATTGCTCCTCGCAATTGTTCCCCCGTTGCTCACATCCTCACCCAGCTCCAATATTGCTGCCACATTGCCGCACCTGTAGCAATAATTCGGCGCAGACCAGACTGTCACAATGCCACCGTCGAACATCTCTTTGAACCCTTCCATGACGAGTTGATGTGCCCGCGCGATGAGCGAGAGGTCGTTTCTGTGGCTAAAATGCTTGACGATGTCACCTCCGAAGAGAAAGCCTGCTCCCCGTGGAGATAGACCCCAGCCTTCAATTTCGTCTGGATCGGACCAAAGAAGGTCGCACATGGCACCTTCGTGCGGCACTTCTTGTTTTCGGTCGATAAGGCGGATTTTATCGATGCTGTCCACCAGTGGGGACAGCCCGCCATGAACGCAAAAGACAGCACCGGTACTACTTCCAATACTGCCCATGCTATCAGCTGTGGCTCCGGTGCCTGCGGGGCCAGATCTCCTGGGGGTACCGGTGGGTCCCGACGAAGATGGGTCCCTGGAGGGGGACACATCCCGAATATCAGTTGAGCTATCTTGTGAGTCGCCGTCGCTACCGCCGCCCCTTCGTCTATATGTCGAAAATGTAACTTCGCCTTTTGAATTCAACACTTCAGACTCCAGCTCTTCATCCCCAGTAGCCGTGGTGGATTGGGTGTGATCGTTTATCACGGGGCCTGATGGTTCCAATTCAGAGCTGGCACCCAATACCAATGCGCCCAAAGCCAAATAATCAAATACCTCGCAACAATAACGCCAAACATTAGCACTGCCATATTTCCGAATACATTCGTCGTAAAAACCATAAACGGTCGTGATCTGCCTCGATTCGTGATTACCACGAATCAAGGTTATGCGGTCAGGGTATCGAACTTTGAGACAAAGGAGGAGAAGGAAAGATTCGAGAGAGTAAAAGCCGCGATCGACAAAATCGCCCATGAACAGATAATTCGTATCTGGCACATCACCGCCCACGCGGAATAATTCCATCAAATCATGAAACTGGCCGTGGATATCACCGCAGATGGTCACCGGCGCGTCGACGGAGACTACATTTCCCTCCTCGATGAGAATCTCGCGTGCTTTGTAGCAGAGTTCTCGCACTTCGTGTTCTGGGATAGGGCGGCAAGCGCGGAGCTGCGCGATAGCTCTAGACGCAAGAAATGGCTAGTCAGTAAAATGTTTTGATAGGTGGTGTTAGGAGACGGAGCTCCCTTCCACTGACTTGTCTAGATCACTCATGGTGAAACTTCCTCCGCGCACACAGAACGCACGCCCTAGCCACCCGCCTTCTCTTCTCCAACTAAACCGCTGGCGTTAAGAAGCGTACCAAGGGAGGCGGACCAGGTGGCGGAGGGCTTGCTGCAGTATCCAAGAAGCTGATGATCTAGCTTGGCGGGCGCGATGAGCTGACGGATCTGCGTGTTTAGGGCCACCGGGGAAACGAGCACTGGGTTATCTCAGTAGGACAATGAAGGTCATCTTCGTTAGAAAACTGTACTTGAGGGCGTTAATGAAGACTCTCGGGGAGGTGGTGTGTTTTTTGTCGTTCGGTCCCTCCCTCGTTGACAAAGGTTGTTTGAATGCGCTTGGGCTCCAAGAAGCGGAAGATCGCTAACTAAGCGCCCCACACGACAGTGTTATGTCAGCATGTCGCGCGGGTGTTGGCCTGTGCTCGACGCTCATCGAACTAGTAAGTATTGGTTATTTATTAAGAGCGTTTTATGGTAATGAGAAGTTCATTTCAATTGTTTAAAATCTAAAATATACATACTTACATATTAGAATACAAACTTCATAGAATTCCAATTTACCTGGAAGCGGCCACTTCTATTGGCCTGAGTTCAATTTACTCAGCTCATGCCAGCAACCACATCATACTAGCACTCCGTATCTGTCGTGTAATGCGCCGTAGCGCTCAATTCTGAGATCAAGTTCTCAATGCAATTATGAACACGAGTTTCACATCCAGGATGAATACTTTCAGTCCGGGTAGAATATCACTTTGTTGCTTGCAGATGACTCTACCGGGAATCAGAAGTGCGCACAAGGACGGTTGCGGAACGTCTTGCACGGTTTATACGGTGGGATGCCAGGGAAGACGAATTTTCGAAGAAATGAGAATGTCCACGGTGAAAATGTGGATATTATTTTCCTTATCACCGGCATGGGTCAACCCTGCATGCATGGGTCTAAATATAGATATTATTAGACTAAAGAACTATCAATTGCGAATCATACCAGGAAAGGTAGAACATGTATCTCCCTCCATGTGCCATGTCAGCCGCAGAGCAGTCCGTTGTTGATGGGGCCACAACTATTAGAAGTGCTACAATATATGGGTCCTGTTGAGGATCTGAGGGAGTGACTATCTTTAACTTGAGTTTGAGTAGGGTACTGGTGGGCTTGCTATACCGCCATTTTGATGGGATGTCTTCTCACGACGTAGTCCGTGTATAACTAATTTGCGGAGCGAAGCGAAGCAAATATATGATGAAAACCCTGGTCATTAAAAGTGGAGAATTTCCTTTTTGGGGTTCTTGGCGCGAATACAGCCCACTGATTGGTGTAGAATTAAGCGAAGCGCAATCCCGTGACATTGTACTATCATATCATCTACCTACTCTGTACAGATTCTTGAATAGATAATATATCTGATCAACCATCTCTCATAGATTCTCAAGAATGAATAATGTGTCAAAAGCCTGTGTTCACTGCTTATAAAATCAGTCTCTTGATTAATTCATTTCTTTACAGTATTCTACTACTTCTACAGCTGTCTGTCTTCAATACTACATTCAGAGAACTCAGATATTATAATCTTCTCTTATTATATCTTTTCTATTACTGTGTAAGAATAAGTGCTCACAGGCAATTATTCAGGTGTTTGTAGCTTAATATGATATATACTGTTAACTACTAGAAGTATTCATGATAGAAAGATAAAATATAGAAATTAAATGTATAGTAGTATTGTAAGAAATCCCGCTCCTCGCGGATCCTTTACCCCTATTCCTATCTCTCGCGTAACCAATAGGGCTAGCGGCCCTTGGCTACACACAACTATATAGACTGGAGTTCGCGAATACTATTCATAACTCAGCTTGAATGCTATTATACATTTAATCTCTACATTTATCTTTCTACTGTGAACACTTCTAGTAGTTAACAGTACATATCATGTCAAGCTATAAACATCTAAATAATCACCTGTGAGCACTTATTCTTACATTTCAAGCTCAGTCAGTCAGTAACTGTCTGTTATGACTGAAAGAACTAGAAACTTGTATACTTCAATCTCTGTGAACTCTACTACAGACACTCAGAAGCAGTCACTCAAACTATGAATAATCTCTGTAAAAGAAGTCTTAGAGAACTTATCAATCACTTATGAGATATTATTCTCTGCATCTGTGACAGAGAAACTCTCTGAACTTATGAATAAATCAATCTCAGTGAAGAACATTCTTGAGCATCTTTCACAGAATCAAGCTATTTTTCTATAAGAAATACTTACTGTCTGTAAACACTCTTGAACTGAGTTTTTAGACATAATCTTCAGAGATATCTATGAACTGAAAAGAAACTTTCTCAAGCTGCAATCACTTAAGGCCATCTATTGAATCACAATCTATAAAAGCTTTTATAAGTTTGTATTTGAAATTGACTTATAAGTCTGACTGTGTGATATGAAAGATGAAGAAGCTGTTATCTATGTAATAACAGACCTCTATTACACTGAAGTCAAGAACTGACTGAATTATCTAGAAAATAATTATAAGAGATTCTGATAATCTATTCTCAAGATCTATCTAGAGAATAAGTTGAAAGACTCTATGAGTCAGACAGAGAACATCTGAGCTGTAATCACTAATATTAGAAAAAGAGATAAGAAATCTGATGAAGACTACTTACAGTGCTTCATGAAATTATAATATAAATTAAAATCTGTAAAAATAGAGCTCTGAAATAAGACCTGAATGATGATATTTATAAAGAGACTGAATAAAGATATACAGAATAAGCTCATTGAGTAAGACTCTAAGTTCTTGACTCTGAAGAAACTGATAACTCTTATTCATTACTTATGAATCACTGTGAGAGTCACAGATCTGTGAAGAGTGAACTATTAATCAGCTCTGTAAGAGTCAGAATAATAGAGAACAGATTTGTCAGAAAAAGATGATAAGATATAGAGAGATTCATGTCTGACTACTGAGCAGAGAGAGAGAGCTTCATAAGCTTCTGTAAATAGAGTGTATAATAGAGAGACTAAGAAAAAGAGACTCTGCTTTATCTGTTCTAAACTAGAACATCTCTGTATAAACTGTCTGAATAAATTAAAATAGAAATTTAAGAAGTCACAGACAGAGTCAGCTACAGTCTTCTTAAGAGTTTTAAAGCTGACATCTGAATCTGTTACTTCTCTGATAAAAATACTTGCTTATGAAAAGAGACTGTGCTGTGATGCTGCTGTCTTACAAGTATGAAAAGTATTGATAAACTCAGAATCTCAGGTCACTGTGATGTTTCTAAAGCTCACAGAGTGAATAAGCTGAAAGATAAAGACTGAGAATCTACTCTTATAATAAGCAGAGTGTGAGAACTCAGATCTGAGAGCTAAGAGACTTATAAGAGTCATTTTTGAATTATAAGATCTCTCTGAAATCTGAAGAAGATTTGCAGAAACTGTGATTATCACAGACATCACAGATAATATGTATTTAAGACTTATATAACTTTAAAGACACAATTCATACATAGCTGTCTGTGAGTCAGGTTTATACTTTCAATCAGTGTTAGCAGACTCACTTACAGAGATAGAAGCAGTTGATACTGTAGAGTTAATTAGAGAAGATAAGTTCATCTATATAATAACTTTGTAAGTGTCTGAGAATCTCACAGTCATGAAAACTGAGCTTCAGATATCAGAGAAATACTGAGATCTTATAGAGATATTCAGCTCAGCTAAGATAGCTGAGCTTTCTTCTCACTATGAGAAGAATCTAATAATAGATTTGATAGAAGAGTAGAAACTCTTCTGAGAATCAATCTATAAGCTCTTTTATTATAAGACAGAGATCTTGTAGATCTATGTGAAGAAGAATCTGAAGAATGACTTTATCTAATCTTCACAGATCTTCATGAAAGTCTCTGTAATATTTGTAAAGAAGAAGAATAAAGATCTCAGATTATATATAGACTACTATGATCTGAACTTCAAGATAATAAAGAGCTGCTATTCTCTATCTCTGATTAAGAATGTAATCAACTGTCTCACAGAAGCTGTTATATTTATATAACTGAATATAATCAATGTATATACACAGCTGTGAATACAGTCTGAGAATGAATAAAAGACTGTCTTTAGAACTGTACTGAGATTATTTAAATATCTAGTAATATCTTTTGATCTGACTAATATCTCTGTGATATTTCAGTCTTTTATCAATAAAACACTTCATACATATCTGAATGTCTTCATGATAATATATCTGAATGATGTGATAGTGTACTCTGTGAAGAAGAAAGAACACACTGAGCATGTGCAAAGTATGTTAAAGGTCTTAGATGAGACAGAACTGTATATTAAGCTTATAAAGTACAACTTCAGTACTCACTGAATTAATTTCCTAGAATATGTAATCACTGTGAATGATATTCAGATGAAACCTTCACAGATTGAGACTATTCTATCATAGTCAGAGTTAACTAGTATTCATGAGATTCAGATCTTTCTGAGCTTTGTGAATTTCTATAAACAGTTTATCTTTGTATTCATGAGAATCTTCTTGACTCTTACAGACATGCTGAAGAGTGAAAATAAGAAGAAGTCATTCTGTGAATAGAGAATGAAAAGATTATTAAGAAGAAAGAACTGTGAGAACTTTCTTATCTCAGAAGCTCATAAGATCTTTATAAGATTGAAACAGATATTTATAAATACAGTAATACTGTTTCACTTTAATTTCTTACTCTTAATCAGATTAAAGACAGATATCTTCTTCTTTATAATTTCAGAAATAGTCTCATAACTACAGTTAAATAAGAACTGAGTTTCAGTGATCTTTTTCTCATGAAAGATACAATCTGTGAAGATTAACTATGATATTTATAATTAGAAGCTTCTCACAATAGTGAAATTCTTCTGTCACTGATATCACTACTTTAAGAATCTCATAATAGTGATTACTGTTAGAACTAATCATAACAGCTTACAATAGTTTACTTTAATCAAGAAACTCTTGTGATAGCAGATTCACTGAGCTCAGAGACTGAGTAAGTTCTGATTCAAGATAGAACATATCAAGAGAACTAAGAACTCAGCAGACAGACTCTCTTACAGATCAGACTATGTTAAGAAGATCAGAGTGACAGATATAGAGAGACTAGAGAAGACAGAAAAGCTTTATAAGATGCTCAGACTGAGTATTATAAAGAGATTGACTGAAGAGTCTCTCAATTCTCTGTAAGAGAAGAGAGAGAAGAAAGAAAAGAAGTCTGTATAACTACTCTCTACAACACTGAGAGTTAACACTCTGAGAATCTCTGTGAGAATTCTTGAAGAGAGTATCTATAATCTGAAGAGTTTACAGACTTTAAGAAGCACTGTGAAAGATCTGATGCAAGAGAAAATAGAGTATAAGTCTTTATAAAATCTTCTATTCAGATTGTCTGAACTGTAACTGAAGAATGAATATACTCAGTATATTCAGAAACTGCTTACAGCAGAAATCAATTCTGCAGAAATAAAAAATTAAAGAGACTTAAATAGTCTCTTATAAAGAGAGAGTCAGATTTATATATCTGTGAATAAGTTTCTATGTATAGAACTTATTAAAAGGTATTATAACTCTTCTCTAGCAGGTTATTTTATAGATATTAGAACTCATGAGTTGCTCATAAGAAAATACTTCTGACTGAAGATGTGAGAACTTGTAAAGAAGATAGTAAATTCTTATACTATTTATCAGAGTTTGCAGATAGTGCAGTTCAGATTATATAAAGAACTTACTTCTCTACTCATTCTGCAGAAACCTTAAAAACAGCTAGAAATGAATACTCTTATAAGTCTCTCTGAAAGCAAGAACATATATAATGCCTGCTTTGACAGTGTGCTGATAATAGTAAATCACTTCATCAAGATAACACACTTTATACTCATCTGTAAGAACTTGAAGTCAAAGAATTTAACTCATATCTTCATCTATGATGTGATTCAGTTGCATGAGTTATCTGTGAATATTATCTCAGATAGAGAATTAATTTTTATAGAAGAGTTCTGATCTGATCTGATAACTATACTGAAGATCTTATGAGATTTAAGTATGACTTTTCATCAACAGACAGATAATCAGACAGAACATCTAATAAGTATATTAAAACAGTATCTGTGATACTTTGTTAATTATAATCAGAATGACTGAGTATATTGATTATTACTCACAGAGTTTATATATAACAACTCAAAGTATGTCAGCACAGATAAAACTCTCTTTGAGATACTCACTGAGACTTATCTGTGAATAATCTTGATAAACTTATGAGAGTACACTATAGAGTGTGATGATATCTGTGAATAGACTGAGAGAATTCAGAAGATTCAGAAGAAAGCCTGTGAATTCTTGAGAAAGATCTAAGAGTATCAGAAGAGATACTATAACTTTAAGCATATTACAAAGAGTTTTAAGAAAGATGATAGAGTCTAACTAAGTCTAGAAAACATTATTATACAGAGATCTAGTAAGAAGCTGAATCTCTTATAAACAGAGTTTTACAAGATTATGAAGAAAGTTAGCTTATAGTTCTATAGATTAAAACTGTCACTTGAGTTATAGATATACAATGTTTTTCATGTCTCTTTACTCTGTGAATATAAGAAATTCTTAGAAGAGAATTCTGTGACTTATCACTCTATCTATAAAGTATTAAAGAGTGAAAGAGAATATCAGATTAAAGAGATTATTGACTCAGAGAAGTGAGATTACAAGCTCTGATTCAAGGTTCAGTGATAAGAGTATTCTGATAAGATAAATGAGTTCACTTGAGAATTATCTGAGTAGATAAGATATCTACAGAAGCTAAGACATGACTTTTATATTATAAATTCTGATAAGTCAGAATGATATGATCTTTACTAAGAACCTGATTATAATAAAGATATTAACACTGTCATTTATAAATTCTAGTCTATAAGATAATAAGTTTCTACTGAGATGAACAGTCTGTAGTATATATAAGAGAAGAAGAAAACATGTTCTTATTAAAGTTAAAAAACAAGAAAATAAACAGAATCATAAATACAATTTAGAGATTAATAAAGAAAAAATAAAGAAAACTCATACTTATATCATTAATATCTGTGATACTTAATTTCTTCATAACTATCAATTTCTCTCTTCAAAGAAGTAGAAAGTATTATATCTGTGATACAGACAATTATTACATTTGATGTGAAGATTGTCAGAAATGCACAGACTTCAGAGAAGCTGAACACCAGAGTATACACAGTTATGACAGAGTCTTGAAGACTGATTATCTGTGTGTGTGATCAGATATCTCTTATAAAGCTGTGTCTGCTCTCTCAGTTATGCTGAAGTATTCAGTCTGAAAATAATAAAGATATGAAGAGAGAGCTTATCTGTTCAGATTAACTCTTATTGTGAATTCATGACATTCACATTGTCTTAATTATCTAGATTTTACAGGTACTCAGAGACTCATCTCTTATTAATAATGAGATTGTGAAAATGCACTGCAGTGTGAGAATCATTGATAGAGAACCTAGACATATTCACATATGTCTGATCAGAGATTGTATAAGCAGAGAGAGAGTGATCATAGGCCTGCAGAACTGCAGAAGACACTGATAACACTGAAAGCTTTATAAGAACTGTCAGCTAGAATCTGTAAGAAATTACTTATGAGAAGACTTACAGCAAAGAGAGAGACTGCACTGCTTGAAGTCAGAAGCTGATCTGAGAAAGAAATGAGATGAGCTGCTGATCTGAAGATTGAGTGTGATGACAGAGCTGAAGAGAATGAAGACACAGTTATGAGCAGCAGCACTTCTGCTTCATCAGTCAGTAAAAAGTGATTAGAGAAGTTGCAGAGACACTTATAAGAAGCTCAGCAGCAGTCAGACATTATTTATAAAGATATTGAAATTAAAAAAATTTTTTATTCTTGAGAAGTTCTTGAATTAATATACAGATATTGTCAGAAACACTCTCTCTCTATTATTTGAATGAAAATACTTCACAGATGAATGAGAATACTCACAGTTTATAAGAATAAGAGCTGTTACAGAAAAAGAGAAAAGAAGATGAGATTTCACAGACAGATCTGAGATATTTATACTACTCTAGAGAGATTTACTTACACTGTAAGTGATTCTGTGAAACAGTCAGATTACTCTAGTAAATAAGAGTGATTATAAATTATAGATCTGAATCTTTCTATATAACTATAAAGAGTGATTGCAGACTGTGAATATCTTGATTCTACAATTCTACAGAGTTGATGAAAGAATAGAAAATTCCTCACAATTCTACAGTATCAAAGAGCAATGATTTATAAGAATGAATAAAAGATTAACTTATAAATGTTTCTCTTTGATAAGAGTAATTTCACAGAGAGTGATTCATCTGTAAGATGAATCTGTGTGATGATTATATAAGAATCTTATGAAAATAATTAAGAGTCAACTGAAACTCTTCTATATAAAAGATATGAGATGAATCTGTGTGATAGTCAGAGAAGAATCTGTAGATTATAAAGAATCTCATAAAATAAGAAACTGAGTGACAGACTCTTTTCTCTTCATAGTAACAAGGGATTTTTTCTCACTGAGATTTTTTATAGATATAAAGAGTTTTTAGTGAGTATTACTGCAGTGCTGAGCTGACTATGAAGTTACTCAGTGAAAGGCTTCACAGATAAAGTCTTAGAGAGAGAGAAATATGTAAGAAATCCTGCTTCTCATGAATTCTTTACCTCTATTCCTATCTCTTGTATAATCAATAGGGCTAGCAGCTCTTGGCTATACATAACTATATAGACTGAAGTTTGTGAATACTATTCATAACTCAGCTTGAATGCTATTATATATTTGATCTCTATATTTATCTTTCTATTATAAACACTTCTAGTAGTTAACAGTACATATCATGCCAAGCTGCAAACACCCGAATAATCACCTGCGAGCACTTATTCTTACAAGTATTTAAGCTGAGTTATAAATAGTATTTATGAACTTCAGTCTATATAGTTATATGTAGTCAAGGACTACTAACTCTATTAATTATACAAGAGATAGAAATAGAGATGAAGATAAAGAATTCATGAGAAGTGAAATTTCTTATACACTGATTATCTCTTTACACTGTGTAGAACTGTAAATAAATATATACAGTAAAATCAGATTCTTCTACAGTTATAGATTCTGTGATAAATAAGTCTGAACTCTCTCTATTATTCTAGATATATTAATACTTTATATAATTAACAGCAGTCTCTTAAGTCTGTGTAAGAATAAGTACTTACAGATAATTATTCAGATATTTACAACTTGATATAATATATACTATTAACTATTAGAAGTATTCATAATAGAAAGATAAAATATAGAAGTTAAATATATAATAGTATTTAAGCTGAGTTATAAATAGTATTCATGAACTTCAGTCTATATAGTTATCAATCTTGCAGAGTCTTCTGTTTTGAGCTTAGCTCTGCAATGTCTTTGTACACAGAGGCTCGTGTGCATTAAGATATTTTAAATGCAGCGCCCGCATGGCTAAACGAATCTCCCTGAAGAAAGTACGAAGTTTGGCAACACAGCGTTCATCGAAGCAAAACCCAGGACTTTGAATCAAAAGGAGAGTAGGAGAACAACAGCACAACAGGGCTGCAAATGGACATTCGGGAGCTGAAAGATCCCTATGAATAATGTACTCCCGCCCTGGATAATTTCTAAGGTCAAAAAGTCGTTAATTACTAAAAGCATCCAATTGTGCTATTAGGCATTCCAAACGTGGTGCTTCGAAAGAGCATCATAATAGCTCAACATTACGGTTTGTCCACAACAGAGGGTGAATGATCAGCTGTTCTCGACAGGAGAGTAGAGCAAGTTGATTGATAGAAAAGACTGCAGTGTCTGCGACTGAGGTAGAACCATTGGAAGGCCGCCGAAGCCGAAACATCTACAGCACATTCATTCTTGCACTGTTCGCTAACAGGGTCATGAATAAGCGCGTCCAGCATCCGGCATATTGGGACGGTCTTCACTATCTTCCTCCACACCTGCGTCCTATATACATAGAATGCGTAGATATCGAGGAATACAGCTTTTTCCATCTGGTTTGCTTCAAAATAACATGAGGTGAGATCAGAGATAAGATAAGATTAGATCAACCACAGAAGCGACTCGCTTGGGGATCAGGTACAGTACAATAAAAAACCAGCCAAACATGTTCAACTACCAAAAAGGCTTCCGTCCTGCTCTCTCGCGTCGCTGTGCCTAGGTATATCTACTGACCAAGGCAAGATAGACACATAAACTCTAAATCACGTATCTAACGAGATTTTTTGCAAACTACAAGTGTTTCTAAAGAGGTATTGGAGTGGAGCAGGAGAGAGATCCGGGTTGATATTGCAAGGTTTATCTCTCCAGAGACTGGGAACCGCCCACAGATATCCATGGAAATAATCTTTGGCTGGGGTCCTGCCACTTGTCTGTTCATTTCGAGAACGATCTCCAGCCCCGGGAGAGGTTCCTCGGCCAAGTCCGCCAAGTCTTTAACCACGTGAGAAAATAATCTGCGTGGTTTGATTGGCCATCGACATGACATAATTCCCGGCCGCCAGATCCCGCTCACACACTTTTCGGGATTGCTGATATTAGGCGCAAAAGAGGGCTACCAGTGTCCGATCGCGCCATTGAACAGTATGCCGATCTAAGAAATCCCGTCCGGACAGCCTAATGGATTTAAAGGTATGCAAGCCATTGTCCCTTTCAACATTGGGTCCCAACCCGCAGCCACTAACATTCTAAGTGCGCATCTTCCAGGGATAACAGAAAACGAACAAAAGAAAGGCATTTCGTACTAGCTGGGCTCCTCTCACGTCCCTCCCTCCCCACGGCCCCATGACGTCTACGCCCCTTTTGACATTACAATAACAAGGACGAAGTAACCTATTGGGCAAATTCCCTTTCCAACAATGCCTCCTCATCTCCATCCGCGGTCACGCTCGACCGTCTCCCTCTTCACACTTACCCTCATGTCGTCTCTCGTCATTGTGGGCATACCACATCTCTTCCCCTGCCCCGTGCCACGACACGCATACGCCGACTCCGAAATGATCATGTCCGCCGATGGACAGCAGAAGATGGTACGGAAACGAAGAAGAAAGCCTGTTGAAGCCCAGCCGGCCGGTGAAAGTGATGTGAATTCAACTATGATAAATACCACCCCACCTCGCACGATGAAGCCGGGGTATTCGTCACGACGCCAACAAGAGGGACTTTTAGATGATGACATTGTGAAATTCCGGCAGATGGAAGAGGAGGCAAGGAATTTACAGAATGTTAAGAGGGAATGCCCCGTGCCGAAGCCCGGGGGTATGGTTGGGGAGCTGCTGGGTTTTAAGAATCAAGATCAGGGGAGAGGGAGAGATGGGATCCCAAGAGCGGACATTCCGGGGCGGGGGAACGGGTCTTGAATATTTGATTTATTAAAAAAAAAATTCATTGCAGGCAGGAGGAAGGATACTGTAACATATAGACATCGCGATATGCGGGATTGCATGTGGACCCTTGGATATGTCTTTATATGGCTTTGTTGGGCTTATTCTCTGCTCGTGTCTTTATTTATTTCGACCTTGAAATGGTGAATGGGTAAACATGGATTGTATAGTTAAACATTTACATTGTATATTAATATTGCATTTACTGGGGACTGGAAGCCATGCAAGAACTCGAAAAGGCACGGTATTTTTTCCCCACTCTCTCACTCATCAGTGATTCTTCATCTCTAACCAAGCCCGCCCTACTGGTGATTTTTATATACTTAGACATTGCCTCCACCAATCTGCATCGACCCTAGCTTCTATTTTTAGAGTTCCCAACCAAAACTTGAAAATTTTGTGAACCGGTGTCCAATATCTGAATCTCCGAAGGATGGTCAAGCTTTCTCTTCGGGCGCACACGAAGAAGGGGGTGAGTTTCAGAGTTGAAGATGTCCAATTTCATTGATGGTTTGTATGCCGAGTTCACCTGGGCAGACTTTGGCTTGCCGGAAACTGAGTCAAATGGCTGGGTTTGTTTTGGAGGAGACGTCATCAACACAGTCCGCTAAATAAGGCGGGAGGGAAGCCTTGTAGACAAAGCTATTGGGAGGTTTGTGTGCTCTTGTTCGCGCAGGATCTGGGATGGGGCATGAATTTCAACGCCAGCTACCGGTTAGCGCATCTAGCGGAAATGACCACGCTCGTAAGATGACGAAGCCTAAATAAGCTTCCATTCATGCTCTCGACTTTGAAATACGACGGAGCGCACAGTACGCCAGATGAAAAGAGGAATCAATCAACGGGTCCACTTGATAGGTGACGAATCGATCTTGGTTTCCAATGCTGGATTTGGGATATCCTCGCAACAATTGGCAATTGGCGCCATCATGAGGGGGAGAAATGATCTCTCCATCGGCCAGAGTGCGTGCCCGAGACAAAATCTGAGGCCGAGACCTGAGGCTTGTTGCTGCCGGGTTGCTTGGGGGCTGTGCCATCTTCACCATCCCAGTCTGGATGAAAAACTGTCAAGGCCTTATTCTAACTTAGTCATTTAGGCGCTCGAATAAGCATAAATAAATCTATGCCTGCTCCCGACTCGCGCTCCGCGTGGAAAATTCAACTCTCATTACAAACCAAGAGTGAAGTTTGTTTTGCGCTGGATGCAAATGAGACTAGCTAAATATCCAGTCCCACCTCAGTTCGTACAAATAAAGCGGCCAAGCCTGTAGCTCTTTCGCAGCTCATAAGCCTTATTCTTGTACCTGAGTCGTTGTCCACGACCGACAGCAACCTTTGGGATTCACCGAATGTGCAATTGAAACGTAATTGTGCACTTTTCCCAGGAAAAGTCTACAAAACCGTTACACCCTTGAGATAGCAGCTTGAAAGCAGCCTGCGCTGCTTTGTCCAGCCGTCAGCCTCGTCTTGTTCGCTGAACTCAATTGATATCTCTCGAAATAATGTATCAAATCCCACGGAAACCGGTGTTGTCTGCGACACAAGCCTCCCCAACAACTTCAATTTCACCAATTGCTCCCCCCGAGAGTAATGAAGGTGACTCCTCAATCCACAGGCAATATTCAAGGTAGGCACTGAAAATGATTCCCGCCCTTTCCAGTGCCATTGTTAAAACGTTGACTCTCGATATCTAGCGAAAACAGCAGCATCCAACCACATACCCCCGCACAAGCAGAGCTGTTCTCGACCCTTGAAGTCCCGACCAATGGACCAGAAATCGCCTCAGGCTTTCCATATAACCAACGACTCTTCCAGTTGCATGTCAGCCCAGACGAATGGACGCAGTTCTGCGACGAGCTGGCGTACGCAGTGAGGCTTACACTTCTAGAAAAATGTGCTGTCTGGTCAGTGGGTGTTGGAGTTGGGATAGTCGCCACAGGTGCATTGGCTATCCTTGGGCCAATCCCCGCATACTATGCTGGAAAGAGCGTCAAAAAGAGTCGCGTGGCGAAGAAAGTGAGACGGAGTCAAAAGGGAAAAGGAGATCTTGAAGTAACACTGAACACCTGGAACGAGAATGTATTTCGAGACAAGGGCATCAGAATATGGCTCCGTTTACCTAGGCGCAAACAGGAGAAGCTGGAGCACAAGATGGAAAAGAGGGAAGGAAAAAAAATGAACAAAGAAGACGGCGACGACATCGGTGACGACGTTAACGGCAGCACACCTTCACTCTCCTCCAGAAGCAACCCTCACGCCGACTGCAGCCCCCTCAGCCGGTCATCTAACTCGAAACTAGGCTTCAAAGTTGAGCCGAAGGAATCGATGGCTGCAAGGAACAAGCGAGAGAAGCTGGAGGCGAAACGGTTGGAAACACATTATACATTAATGGTGGAGGATATCAGAAAACCTATTGGCGAAGAAGAATTACTTCAGATTGGTGTTATAGAAGTCGAAGAGCCTGAAAGCGCCCGCTCCTCAGCTTCATCTCCAGTATCTTCTCGAGGGGATCCACCCGACTATGACTCTACTACGGATAGTCGCGGCTCAGTAGCAGAGCTAGAAGAAACATGTCTTCCTACGGGAGTCGTGCTACCCTCCCGAGGTGTCTATGAGCTTGCATCGTGAGCACTAAGGCCGAGCGTTTCTTTGCTTTATGACAGGGGAGTTTAGGAACCATGATACCATTGTCTTCTTCTTTTTTCTTTTTCTTTTTTTCTTTTTATAATGAAACGGACGTATTTGGGCAAAACATGAATGATATTCCCCCAACTCTTCTCCATTTCTCTTCTTTCTAATTCTCTTTTCTCTCGGTTTATTTTCCACACGCTATCCAATGGGCTTCTATGCCGGCGAATAGTATTAAGTTGGCTCCTATTGTCGAGTTCCTGGAGAGTTTCTACATCAAGTATTCTCCTTGCCCTTTAATGTAAGCAATGAAAATTCATAATTATAATCTTCGAGAAATAGATAAATAAATTAAGTTTCTGTTCATTACTCCCAGTAGGTGTGCAAAGTAGCTGGGAGCATGAGCACCATAGCATAGCGGGATGCCTGCGCTAAATATTTGGCTGAGTAATCTGTCATGTTGCCAACGTGAAACGCGGCGCCCGATGAAGCTGCGGTGATTCCCGAAATATGACAGGTTAGAACGAAAGAGTTGGAAAGATAGTAGAGAGAATTCGCGGCAAGGAGAAATGCTGAGTGTTGAATTTATTTTCCCGACAGGAGCTCAACACGCCCACACCGAAATATGAACATCTATGAACGCGCCGTCGACCTTGCTACAAATCCAAAATACTCAAAATGGATCTGGCCATTGCTTCTGCTCGCAGAGCTTTTCCTCTGCACAGTCATTGTTTGGAAAGTCCCGTGTATGTATCAAAAACGCATAAATGGAGCATGCGGTTAGGAACGACAGCTTACCTCTTTTTCCCATCGCAACAGACACGGAGATAGACTGGTCAACGTACATGCAACAGGTATCACTATTTTTGTCCGGTGAACGAGATTACGCCCTCATTAAGGGTTCCACGGGACCGCTTGTCTACCCTGCCGTACACGTCTACATCTACTCGGCCCTCTATCACATCTGCGACGATGGCAGGGACATCGCCTTTGCACAGGTCATATTTGCGATTCTATATCTCGCGACGTTGGTGATTGTGATGTGGAGCTATCGCTCTGCAGGGGCGCCGCCATATCTATTGCCTCTGCTTGTGTTATCGAAGAGACTTCATAGTATATTCCTTTTACGGCTATTCAACGATGCAGTTGCGACCTTTTTCCTGTGGGCGGCTATTTTGATGCTACAGAGGAGACAGTGGGCTGTGGGCGTTGTATTGTGGTCAATGGGTGTAGGGGTTAAAATGACCGTGCTACTTGTCGCACCAGCTATTGCAGTGATTGTGGTGCTGGGTGCTGGTATCATTAAAGCTGCTGGCTCTGGTGTAACGGCGTTGTTACTACAGGTATGTTTCCCAACTTACGGCTGGAAGTTACCCATACGAAGGCTACTTTAACTACCCATTGAAAGAGGCTATTGCGGATGCGACAAGTCTCCATTTTTTGCGACTAACAAGAGCTATATATAGGTGCTTTTTGCAGTCCCGTTTCTTCAAGACCATCCCAGCAGCTATATATCAAGAGCGTTCGAATTCACGCGGCAATTCCTTTTCACGTGGACGGTAAACTGGCGATTCGTTGGTGAAGATGTCTTTCTCTCCAAATCCTTTGCACTTGCACTGCTGGTTGTGCATGCATCGATACTTGGGGCATTTTTCGTATTTCGTTGGATTGCCCCATCAAACACGAGTTTAACACAGTTTATCAACAACATTGCCCGTGGAAAACAGTCGCCAACCCAAATCACAAGCTCCTTCATTGCCACGACCATGTTAACCTCTCTTGCGATAGGGCTCCTCTGCGCCCGCAGCTTGCACTATCAGTTTTTCGCTTATCTTTCGTGGGCAACGCCTTTCCTTCTCTGGAAATCTGGATTCCACCCGTTGCTTATTTACTTGCTTTGGACCGCGCAAGAATGGGCTTGGAACGTCTATCCAAGCACAACTATAAGCTCGATCACTATTGTCGCGTGCCTTGCAATACAGGTTCTTGGGGCATTTTTGAATGGGTTCGAGCGCGTGCCAAAAAGAACACGAGGATTAAAAGGTGGCCTGGCTATGAGTAGACGATGAGATGGTGACGGACCGGTCGATGTATGCGATTAACCTTCACGATCTAAAAATCCTCCTGTGCGGTAGTCCTCCAACCCAAAATGGCCTACACAGCTTTGATCAGGGTTACGAGACAAAAGCTCTATCGCCCTGGAAATCATGCGGACTGGAATACCACTAGTCCTGATCATCATCATCATCTGAAGGCGGCAACTTGCCCGCAATTGAATCTTCATCATCCTCCCTCGAGGGCTTTGCAAATTCCTTTGGCCTGAACAATACGATCAGCGAGAGCACACATTATTGGCATGCGTGAAAAGATGGGATAACAAACCAATAAGACGCTTTCCGCCATGCCTTTTCATCTCTGACAATGTTTATGATTTCCCCAGACAATTTGTTCCCCCTCTCCTCAAGCGCATCCATGTCGACAAGCACATAGGAGCCCCGCTTGACCCAGATCGTCGAACGAAATTTTGCCGCCAGCTCTACTAATATGCTCTCTTTAGAGGGTAGCTCTACAGAGTAGATATTATTTCCCGTGGCCCTGACCACTTTGGCGATTTTCTGACTATCCGTCAATGAATCCGGTGCAACTAAAGTTTCCTCTACTGTCGCTAGTAGTTTTCTTCTTGGAGGGGCCATCTCGAAATGACTTTTTCCACGTAAAGGAGTTTCTTTAGATTGCAAGTTATTGTTACGCTGCGCTGTTGGTTTCGCTAGATTGCGGTTGATGTTTGTTTTGAATGTGGTCTGCAAATTTATGCTGCTCATGGAAACGTTGGAGGTTATCTCAGCATGCTCAGCCTCTCTTCTCGATATTTTCGGATTAGCGCGACCAACTAAACTCCTTTAGACTTCTGCCAAGTCCTGCTAACTTCTGAACCAATAAGAGACTTCACATGTGCTCACAACCTAATATCTCATAGAGAGTCTGAGAAGAAATGATTTCATCATGTATGAAAAATCAACTTCACTCATATAAAATATTCAATTGACTTTGAAATCATACATCTACTCTAAATATCTGCCTGATCATCATCAAATTAATATTTTTTAAATCCTCAGTCATTCTGCTATCATCTCTGCTATTTTACAACTCACTACTTCTTCTCATTATATTACAATCATTGATAAAAGACAGTATGTCTTTTGAATCTCAAGACACTCAATGTCAGATGTGCTTTAGTCAATATTCTTTATCACTTAAAGATGAATTCTCTCTACAATCACTACAGTCTCTCAACAATATAGATGATGAATATAATACATCAGATAGTGATTTAACAGAGCTTAAATCTATTAATACTTCTTCAGAATTTGAGATCACTGATACTGATATCAATATCTCATAAGCTTGTTCACAATTGAATCACTGTGACTCACAGCATCTGTCTACAATGCCTTATAACTGACAGAAAAGACAGTTAAAATTATCTTACATTGTCAGAATATTACAGTAAAACAGTTGAGAAATGAAGATTTTTATAGAGACTTAAATTCAGAGTTCTGATATCTTGACTTATCAATAATACAGTACTTCTATGAAGTGATGAAATACACTATATTCAGTACTTTTCAAAGTAGAGATATTCAATGATAATTAATATTATACTGTCTTACTTAAACAGAAGCTGAAATATCTTATTAATACTCTCTTCTTTGTAAAATTCAATCACAATTCTGATCTGAATATCATCAACTTTCAGGCTGCTTTTAAGATTATTCAAACTGATATGTCAATCTGGTTTAATCTACTTACTCCTGTTCTAAAAAATAAATATATCAATTGAAAGAGCTATGAATAAGACTCAGATAAAATAACAGCTATCAAACAGCTGTTTATTATTATGAGTATTATATATTACTCTTATTTCTTGAAAAACTTGAACTTCTTCAGCTCTATTCTCTCTGCATATTTTCATAGCTCAGAAGTAAAATGATAAGTAATAGAAATCATTTCTGACTTTGAACTCTGTCACAGCTATGTGATGAGAAATAGATTGATAATGAAAATTACTAAATAAGAGAAGATATGACTTAATATTCTTAACTTATTAATATTTCTATCTAACATCTCAAACTTCTAGTAATCTCTGATAATATCTGTCATTTTCTGATATATTCTTTGAACTTCTATCAACTTCTAAGTCAATCACTTGACTAATTCTTACTGTTAGATTAAACTTCAGCAGCTTGTCAAAGATTCTTGAGCTGTTATAGTCTATGATAATATGAACTTCAAGAAGACTGTACAAGATGAGATAATCAGATATAATAATTTCATAACTGCTGTGACTACTGCTGCTATGATTATTTTCTCTGATATTTCAGAAACTGATCTAACTCAGATTATGCATGATTTCACAAGACTGCTAACATTGTAAGAAATCATTGATACATCTGATATGACAGACAATGATAATAAGCTTTGAAAGCAAATAACATTATGTCTTATTTCAGATGCTGTTTGAAAGATTTATAATGATGAGATTAAAAGTGTTTTCAGTACTGTAAATAATTTATTATCTCAAATGTCTGTTATTAATACACTTTCTATGCATAGAACATATTTTCAGCAGTTGAGTACTATTTTTGAAAATGAGAACATTATTACAGAAACTATGAGAGTTTATGAGAAGATATTTAATGATTTTCTTAATTTATTAAGAGATTATACAGCATTTTCAACTCATCTCTTTTCAGTGTATGAAGATGCTTTGACTACAAAACTCATTCAGTTAGTCAAGATAAAGTAGTTAAAATCTACAGATATCTTTGAACAGTGCAACTGGCTTCATTCTATTTCTGAATAATTTTATATTTAAATGAATTTACTCTTTATTATTATCTGTACTCATTTTGAAGCTGAAGTCTCTGAGAAGACTTATCACTGTATTCAGTTCAATCTCACTCATTGAAATCAAAATTCTATGACTATCATCAATCTGAAATATCATCTTCTTAAGTCAGTGATTTCTCAGAGCTTTGTATCTTGAAGTCTTGCTCTATTTTATACTGTCATACAATATCAAGATTATTCAGTTAGCAATCTTAAGCACTCAGAAGATATTGATTCTATTATATAATAGCTTAGTTCTTCACAGTATCTTCAGCTTATTGAAGATGTATACATTAAAACATTTACTCTTAATATCTGAAATGAAATCAACTCTCAAATCTCTCAGCTCACTCAAGATATTAAATTCTGTATCATATGTCATCTTCTCTGAGAATGTGAATTATTCATTCAAATACACTATACTGTTAAGTATAATGATATTGAACTTCTTAAGTACTTCATTTCATCTCTAATTATCTTCTTTCTTAGTGCTGATCAATATAATTATGTCACTGAGATACTTCATTATTTTTGAATACTTCAATCTGTCAAAATCTCTTCTCTGTATTGAGTGATTATAGCTGCAGATCTTATTAACTGATCTGAAAAACTCAGCTTCTTCAAAGCAATTGATCTAGGCATGAAACATCTCAATGATAGCTGTAAGCTGAAGATGAAATGCTATAAAAATTCAACAAAGAATACTTATCTTATATTTGATTAAGTCTATCTGTTAAATACATGAGTTCATCAGCTATAGCAGATTTTAGAGTCTATTTTTGAGTATTCATTTACTGAGAAATATACAAGTACTATTACTAAGCTTAAGATATTCTCTACTGTTAAAAGTCTGTTGAAGAATGATTATATCTCATCTCAAGATTTACTTTTACTGTCAAAGAAATGTATATTTGACTTCTTGAATATACTTTTAATTGAAGTGAAAGATCTGAAGAAGAAGATTAAGCACTTTAATCAAGTATGAATTCAGCAGCAGTTGATTGCAATGAACTTGAATTTAAATGATATAATTATTGATGCTGAAGTTGAGTCTTATTCTGAGAAATTCAATGATAATATAGAGTAAGATTCTATTTTCATTGAAAATACACTATCTTTATCTACTATAAATAATCTATCTGATACTTTGAAAACAATTCTGAAGAAGAATAACTAAAATTGATGAATATACTGAAGCTTTACTTACTTCATCTTTCTTTGATATACAATGTTACATTTTCACTGATAAATATATTAATAATAGAACTTCTGCATTATTCTGTCAACTTGTGAGTTAATTAAATATCAAGATTTAAAATAAATATGACTAATATCTGACAAATTTTATTTTTGAGATATCATTTTTCAATATCAACTAATTTACATTTATAACTGATACTTGTAAAGAATGTCTGTATAGAATCTTCAACATATTCATCTGTACAGATTACTTATTTATTAGAGTTCTACTTGAAATCTTCTTTACAAAGCAGAGCAGTATAAATAAAACAAGAATCTAAATCATCAGAGCACTGCTTCTCAGTGAAGAAGAAGATGATCTCTTTAACAGTAACTGATATGACTGTGTTAATAAGAATGTGCTGAGATTCTTGAGCTTGTATTTAAAGATACTATACTTATTCTTGCATGCAATAACTCAGTAGTGAGAATAAGAATTTCTGAACTTGACTATCTGAGCTCTTTCCTTCTCAGAGTATGCTCAACATTTCTCATTATTCTCTTGACAGACAGTATATCTGTTCTTTCTCAGCAGCTGCTCACTCAGCTTCATCTTCATTATTCAGTTAATATAGTCTCACACTCTCTGCTTCTGTGAAGAGAAGTACTGAAACTTCTCATAAAAGACTGATCATCATTTTCCTGATTTCTGAGGCTGATAGAATGATGAGCTCTTACTCATTATTCAATTTCAATCTCATCTTGACTGACTTATCAGCTGTGCCTGCTCTCAACAGACACAGCTGATGAACAGAGTGTTGAGAGAGAGAGAGATATTATATAATATTGTTAACAGTGGCAGCAGCAGCAGGGGGAAGAGAGTGCTCAACACAGAGAACAGCTGAGAGAATGAGAGAGATAAGCTCATCAGTACAGAGAGTGAAGAGAGTTATAATGACTCTGAGAAGAAGAAGGGAAAGCTAATGTAACATGTCAGTGATTGATTCTTTCTCTATCACATATATCTCATTTATATTCATATTGCTTACTTGATTGATTTCAATGAAACTTCTTCCTCTGCAAAGAACAGAGAAGAGAAGAAGTCTGAGAAAGAGAAAGAAGAATAAGAGTAAGAACTGCTATGTAACAATATTAACTTCTTATTCTCTTATTATATTGCACTTATTTAGAGAGAGCTTTTCACATCTATCTGAATAAGTTCAGCTCATCATCTTCATTCTTCAAAGAAGGAGAAGAAGTCTCAGACACTTTCTCACCCTCACTCTCATGAGTGAGAGTGAGGGCAAGAGTGAGGACAGAGAGACAAGAGCAGGCACAGACACAGACACAGGCATGAGAGAGAGAACTAATTGTCAGAGTTAGTATTTTATTTCATTCTCATTATACTTTTCATACTGAATAAACATATACAGTGAATGATGAACTCTGTCAGAGTGAAGTTGTTCATATGAAATAGCTGCAGCAGTAGTAAGTATGTTCTTTTCACTGATGAAAAAGCAGGATGAGTGCATCTGTATCAATGTTGCTGAGAGAGGGAATATCATATTGATTTTTTTAAATCATGAAGAAGAAGAAAAGAAGAAGAGAAGAAGAGAAGAAGAGAAAGAAAGAAAAAAAAGATTCAAAAATATCAGTATAGTGTTATTCATTTCTTCTTTAATATAATGAATTTATCTTCTCACTCATTAACTAATTTGATAGGCTCAGAAGTTCATACAACTTCAAAGAAATTCACAGATGTTTACAAAAGATCAGTGAAGTTAAAAAAAGATCAAAGATTTTATCATCTTACAGCATCATCTTACAGCATCAATTCTCTTAAAGATCTCATTATCTTGCAGTATCAATTCTCTCAAAGATCTCATTATCTTACAGTATCAATTCTCTCAAAGATCTCATCATCTTACAGTATCATCTTGCAGTATCAATTCCCTCAAAAATCTCATCATCTTATGACTGCATGATGATCAGCATTTTCTCATTCTCATTCTTCACTAGCAATGAGAAGCTTTACATACTCTTCAAGCTATATACTGTTTTTCTCAATCTCATTGATCTGAAAGTTCACAAGAGACAGAGAGTATAATAATCACAAAATTTAATGATGCTTTTTTAATTGATCTCATATCATCTGTGAATGCTATACTTCTTCTCTTATTCAACACAGTTATACTTGAACTGCTTTCAGACTGCAGTATTGAGCATGTGAACTGCTAGAGCAAGATGCTATTTAAAGCTCATTAAGCTTAGAAGAAAATCTTTGATAGTTATTGAGTCAGTTATATGAGCTATATTCACTTTTTAAAGTGAAGTTCATATCTTTAAGATATCAAGATTCAAGTGAGAAAACAATCTCATCATTCTGCAGTATCTGAGTTCACATATTAATTATCTTCAAAAGATAGTTTCAGATTAGAAAGAAGCTGAGCTTTCATAATCATCATAGACTCAGAAACCTTGAAGTCATAGTCATTGAGAACTTTGTCAGTTGTGTAAGTAAGATTGAGTTTTAACTCTTCAACTGCTTTGTAATATTCAATCAGATATATAATAGCAAATTTGATCATTAACACAGTTTACAGCTTATTAAGCTTAAAAGAAAATCTTTGATAATTACACAGCAGGATTGAAATAATAGTATCTTATTAATCATTTAAAATAAAGAAAAAAAGAAAAAGGAAAAGAAAGAAGATATTAAGAGAAAAAAAAAATAAAAATAAAAACAAAAATAAAAGTAAAAGTAAAAACAAAAATAGCAATAGTAACAGAATATAAAACTACTTCTCAATAATTTCTCTATCAATCTTACAGTCAACAGGATTCATCAGGTATAAAGAAAAACTCATTGACAACTTCTCATTGAAAAAACAGCTTGCATTATACAAGTCAACATTGTGATCTGCACTGACAATAATCTGAAGATCTTCTTCAACAAATGATTTCAGTATATAATCATGATAGAACCTGATCAATCAGTTATTTATTATCAACATGCTCTGCAACTTCTTCATAATATGATAATAATCATCATCATCTTCTTGCTTATAATACATCATCTTCTGTAATCTTCTAATATAATATTTCACAATGATATAAGACTCTCTGAGAATCTATAATGATATCTGTTAACATCTAAGCTTTCTCTAGAAATATAGTGAACATACAGCACAGTATATTAAATCATGAAAATGATAATTATTACATACCTTTCTAACATCAGAAATAATACATTTACACAACAGCTCAAATTTAGTTATATAAAGACAGCATATGCAGATCTTCTCAGGCTTTGTTGTATAGTAAGTGTTATAATGAGCTTTGAGAACAGTGAACTCAAGCTTGTGAATAGACATTGTTATTTAACTAAACTGTTTAGTTAGAGATTGGTTTATATATCATCTATAATTAAGATTTAACTTACTTTCATTCAATTGAAGAACAGGTGAGTGAGTGAAGCAGTAGAAGCAGTAGCAGAGACAGTGACAGATAATGTAACAGAGAAATTTTCACATTGATAAGTAAGTAGATTGTTGCTGATTGAAAGAAAGATGAAGAAAATGAAGTAAGAAGCTTATATTTATACTTACAATATAAGTAAACAACACATGAGTAAGTTAATAATGTTTAGATAAGTATATTTCTATTCACTTCTATAACTCTATAATTCATGATTGATTCAGAAGTTAGTAGAAGTTGTTAGAAATTGCAAGAAGTTTACAGAAGATTTATTATAGAAGATATCTAACTACTTAATAGTATCATTTTCTATAGAGAAGTTGTCTCTTTCTCTGTGAGAAGAAGTTTGAACATGATCAAAATGAGATATCTTTGTGAATATAATATCTGTGTTTGCATTCTGTTCATCAAATGATGTTCATTTATAGAAGGTTTGAATATCAATACTATTATTGTTACTTTGTCACTTGAATGAAGTGTGAACTTGAGCAGTTATAGATATGTGAACTCATGAACTTGAAGAAGAATGAACTTGAGAACTTGAAGAAGAAGTGAACTGCAGAGTAGTGAAAGCACTGATAATAAATATAGCTAGAGCAGTAGAGACTTCAGCAGCAGTAATAGCAGCTGAAAGAGCTGTAGAGATCTCAGTGAAGATCTTATTAAGTTGCTGTGCTCTTTTTACTGTGTGTTGAGCAGTTATCTGAGTCAGATTATTGTCTTTCACACATTATACAGCTGTGAGCTGCTGAGCTGCTGTCATTTCACTGATTAAATCACTACTTGATATTGTTATTATAAGAGTGACTTACAGCTCTTGAATACGAACTCGCTCGATTTTTCGAATAAGAACCCGCCGATAGATCCATCGAAAAGCCCTCGATCATACGAGCATTCTGACCCCATCGCCGACCGCATACCCTGTGTGGTGGTGGAGTTATCCAGCCAAACGTGAACCGGACGTTGTTCAAAACTCCTGTGTGGGAGTATCCCCCGTTCTCCCCTACCACACCACAACCCCGGGCCAAAGTGCCATACAAATTGTAAGGTGAAGAGACCTAGCCATATGCACCAATCTTCTCGATTTTGGAAGATCCCCGATCTGTAGTTGTGGAGATATCTGAGGAGCGACCTCCGCGAAAACCCTGTCCATCTTTGATGTTCCAAAACACCAACGCCAAGTCCCACCGTTGTACCGCCCTTCCTAATCTGGCCCATCCCCGGCAGAAAAATACAAAAAGATACCTCGGCGATAATATCAAGCACATAACCAACGGCCACTTCTGAAGTGCAACCTCCGCGGTCTGTCTTCAGTGTATCTGAACATCAACGCCAAGTCTCGCCCTTGTATCACCCCTCTCAATCTGGCCCATCCCCGACAGAAAAGTACAAAAAGATACCTCAGCAACTGTACTCAATACATAATCGGCAGACACGACAACTATAAAATCAGTATACCCCAAGGTCTGACTGAGCCTTTGATCCCTGCACAGTGAGATATATTAAATCTAGTTTTAATACCTCAATATTCAATAGATTCTGCAAGGGATTGAGAACAGCAACACTAGGTTTCTATTGAATTTGAGAATTAACTCTATATTGATATAATCATTGACAAAGTCTTCTATTTTGAGATATAAATAACCAGTTCCTCTACATCTCGCTGGCAATATTTATATTATCATATAGAAACAGACTTATATTCTCTATAATATCAAGACTCTGAAGAGGGAAAGTCTTGGTAGAGGGTATACAGTAGTGCATATCTTAGCAGTTTCTATCTCATTCTTCTGCAGCAGTTAATACAAAAAAAAGATTTTAGAAATAGTTTTTTACTTCTCTTAAAAAAGTAAGGTGTTTTTCTCTGGGTTTTACACAATATTCTTACAAAGAATTAAAAACAGAGTTGTTTTCTGTCATAATTTCATATTCTTTTAAGTAAGAATTACTTTTTCAGTGGCTGAAGAGCTTTCATTAATACTTAATTCTTTTTTACACTCTTTATTAACTGATTTGAGTTGCACACCTGTTGTGCGAGGAGAATTGGATAATTTAGAATAAAATTGAATAGTTTTAATCAATTTCTCTTCAAAAAATTGATTTATTTTTTGTCAGTTTTTCTCTCAAAAACTGTCATATCATCTGATTTACTATCAATTGATATCATACTTTTTCTCACTGTATCCTAAGAAAGAGATTGTAAAGATTTTATTGATTTATCTTAAAAATCAATTTTAGTTTATTAGATTCTCTTCAAAAATCTAACCTAGTTACTGAACTAGTGTGAAAAAAATCAGGTGTTTTATACACAAAAGTCTGCGATTCTTCTTTTGAAATAGTCTGACCAACTTTTCAATTGAAAACAGACTTAGAAACCTCTTAATTGAAACAGTCTGACCAACTTTTCAATTCAAAAGAGTTTAATAAATATCTCAATTGAATTAGTCTGACCAACTTTTCATTGAGTAAGAACAATGAGTTCAAAAGTACACTCAGTTGATGTGGAAAAAGATGCTTTCTCAAATGCTATTCCTGAGATTGAAATTCTGAAGAGAAGAAAGAAAGAAGAGATAGAGAAACAACAAGTTCTTGAAATACAGGAACTTGAAAAAGCAAGTAAAATTCTTGAAAAGCAGTGTCTGAGTGAGATGAATGAAGAAGTTCTGTTAATTCTTCATGCTCAGGCTAGACAACTACAGGAAGTGATCAAGTTCAAACTTAGAATTTCAAACACAGTTTAAAAAACTTTGAAAATTTCTAATACAATCACTGACTCTTCAGTTTGCTCTTCTTTCTTTTCTACTTCTTCTTCTTCTTCTTCTTTGAATCAGAAGAAAACATATGCTCAAGCAGCTGAATCTGCTGTCTCTAAACCTGCTGTCTCTAAACCTACTGTCTCAAAACCTGCTCAAAATTCTGAGAAAACTGAGAAGAATACTGCTCATGCCTCTATTCATAGAAAAGTGGAAAAGAAAATGCAAAAAGAGAAAAACTTTCAAATCTCCAGAAATAGAAGACTTATTCTCAAAGTCTCAAACCAGGACATTCTGCAAAGAAACAAGCTAAACTCAAATCTCATTTTCAGAATCAGAAATGAAATTAACCAGCAGTTCTTTTCTCAGTTAATGACTGATATTGAAGTTCAAAAACCAGTTATAGCTTTAATTGAATCATCATTCTTTGAAAACTCCATCATTCTGACTACAATGCCTGAATTCAGTGCTGAATTCCTTATTCAGAATGAGAATCTCTGGAAGTCAGCAGTAGAATCTTTGTTAAACACAACAATTCTATCTGAAAGAGATGAAAAGTGGGACAAATTCATTCTTTATAATATTCCAGTTGAAATTTTTGACTGTGAAGAAGGAATGCTACTTCTCAAAAATGAATTGAAAGAATACAACTCTATTCAACTGAGAAAGGAGCCTGTATGACTAAATTCAATTGAGTTCAGACAAAGCAGGAGAAATGCCTCTGTTCTAGTATATACAAAAACACTTGAACAGTCAAAGATCTCTGAAGTAAGAGTAGCAGGTTTGAAAATGAGAGTTCATGAATACAAAGACTCAAGGATGAACCTCAAAGCTCAAACACAGTGTTCAAACTGTCAAAGATATGAACACTTTGCAATCTCATGTTTTAGAGACTCAAAATGTGCATTCTGTGCCAGAGATCACAAAACTAGTGAGCATAAATGTGAAACATGCTCAAAAAGAGGTGAAATTTGTCAATACACTCTGCTTAAGTGCTCTAATTGCAAAGAAAAACATGCATCTAGCTCAAAAGAATGTATGTTTGCTCCTAGAACTCAAAAGAACTGGAGAAAAGATGAAGCTCAAAGCCAATCTAGAACTGAAGAGAAGAGTCAAGCCAGTAAACTCACAACTGCAAGCTCAAAAAGAAGAAACTCTCAACTATCTAAGTCTTCAAACTTCAACTCTCCAGCTAAATGTAAACAGAACTTGAATCCTCAAACTCCTGTTAAGATTAGAGAATTGAGAAATGACTCTGGTGATAAACTAGATATAATGCAAGCAGTTGAGATTCCTACTTTTCAGAACAGTTATAATCTACTATCTGATGATAGTGATTAGATCTACTCTACTCTCTTTAGTATGATATACACAAAAACAACAAAAAAAGTTTAAAAACTCTTCAAAAATCACATTTATTCAAAATAATGTGAATAGAAACTCAAATTGTATTTATTCTTGTCTTCAAATTGCATTTGAATAAAAAGTTGATTTTATACTGCTTCAGGAGCCGAATTTTGATGCTGAGCAAAAATATGTTATTTCTCATTCAAGCTACTACTGCTTTTTACCTCAAAAGTCTGAGATAAAGTCAAGAGTAGTGATCTATGGAAGAAAGAGATCAAGATATCAATTTAATCTAAGATTTGATATCATGTCTGACCCTGATATTCTGGTGGGTGATATTATAGATAAAGAAAATGAGTTTGATACTATACAGCTCATAAATATCTATAATGAAAAGTCATTGAAGAAAAATAACAATATCTGGACAATTGATAGAGGATTTCTGAATATAACTTCATCAAGAAACTCTATAATTGCAGGAGATTTCAATGCACATCATCCCTGATGAAATTCAGAATGCAAGAGAGCAGTGAGAGCTGATAATCTGATTGAATGAACCTTTGAGCATTCAATAGATTTGGTTAATAAGTCTGATCAACAAACATTCTTTAGAAAAGGCATGAAACAGAAGTCTATTATAGATCTAATCTTCATGTCACAAAATCTAATGAAAAGAAGACTTGTAAACTGGTTTATTGATTCAAATGAGACATCAGGATCAGATCATGAGATTATTCAATTTGATATTGAACTGAGTGAAAAACAAATGAGTGAAAATCCTCTTCTCTCTAATCAGTATAACTTTGAAAAAGCTGATTGAAAAGCAGTTGAAGAAAGCATAAAACTGCTAAAATCTGAAAGACAGAATGAGCTATATTGAAATTCTGGTCAAGATATCTCAAATGAAATGCTTGAGAATAGAGTGAAGCTTATTACATCTATTATTCTAACAAGTGTTAGAGATAATATTTCAAAAAGAAAATCTTCTGAGTATTCAAAACCTTGATGGAATGAGAATATCTCATCTAAAAGGAAAGAATTAGCTACTGCTAGAAGAGATTGGAAAAATGATGTAATATCTGATGAAGAGTTCAAAGCTGTCAGAAATGAATATTTTTCAGATATCAAAAGAGCTAAAACAGACTGCTGGAATAAATTTCTTGAAGAAGCACAAGAGAAGGAAATTTTTAAAGCTTTTAACTATACTAAAACAAGAAGTGTAGCAAAACTTCCAGTCTTAGAATATGAGTTTCAGAATGAATCATATACAGCAAACTCTTTTGAGGAAAAATGTCAAGCTTTCATGAGAATTCTCTTTCAGAACTCATCAGACTCAGATTCAGATTCAGAGAAAGAGAATATATCACTTCTCAACTACATTGATGAAAATGACTGGGAATGGCCTGATCTTACACAAGATGAATTAGAGTCAGCTATCTTCTCAAGTTCTGTTAAAACTGCTGCAGGTCCTGATTCAATTAATCACTTGATTATTCAAAATACATATTCCTACTTAAAGAATGAATATTTTGAGCTCTTTTTCAATCTCTTGAAAAATGAATATCATTCTGAATGCTGGAGAGAAGCCACTGGAGTGATTCTTGCAAAACCTAATAGAAAAACTTCAATTCCTAAGTCATATAGAGTAATATCTCTATTGAACTGTTTAGGAAAGGTTTTAGAAAAGATAATAGCTACTCAACTATCTTTTATAAGCTCTATAGATGATTCTCTTTTATTCAGTGAACAAATGAGAGATAGAAAACAGTGTTCTGCAATTGACACTGTTCTCTCAGTTGTTCATGATATTCAAATAGCAAAGCATGAGGGTCTGGTCTCAACTGCAGTTTTTATTGATATAAAGAGAGCATTTGATCATGTTTCAAAGTCAAAGTTAATTCAGACATTGAAGATATTAAAACTGCCACTTTCTCTAATAAAATGAGTTAACTGTTTTATATCTAAAAGAATTATACAACTCTTCTTTGATGGAATGAAACAAGACAAGACTGAGATAAAAATAGGAGTATCACAGAGATCTTCAATCTCACCCATTTTATTTGCAATATACACTGCATATCTATTCAAAAATAGAAATATGAGAATAGTGCAATCTCCAAGTTATGTGAATGATATTGGTCTAGTCTACAGCTCAAAAACTATC